TCCACACGGGCGGGTCCGCCGTGGCCCACCCCACCTGCCCCCTCTTTGCCGGGGGGGGGGGGCGCACGGCTGAGGTCACCGAGCGCGGAGATCGCAAAAACGTAAAAAGGGCCACAAGAGATGCCCTCCCATCGCTCGCCCCGTGCAACGCCAACATCCCCGAGCACCGTGGATGTTTGCGTTGTCATGCCCCCCATCTTGCTCCTATCGGGCATGCCGATGACGAGTCAGCGCTCTTGTTCAAGACTGTGCTGCTGCCGTTGTGCACGCGTCAGCCACAGCGGTCTGGTCTCGAGGCGTTCGCAAGCGGCGAGAGCACAGGTCGGGTATAGCCAGGGCCCCGGGTAAGGGGACCAGGTTAGTTGTAGGGCCCCGGATCCGATAAATTTGCCAGAATCACTAAACCAGGTCTGCCGTAGCTGGTGTTTTTTCGGGTGACGGCAGCTCCGCTTAGTCGAACGAGGCGGGGGGGGCGTCCCCTAGTACACATCACTAAACCAGGTTCCACTAAACCCAGTTCTGCCAAAGCCCGAACATGATGGGCATGCGAGGATTTTGCTCACAATAGGTCAAAGCTTCTCAGGACATGGCCGGGGGGAACAGGACGATGGCGGAACAGCAGAGGAGTGTCTTTGGAAACAGGTGGCTTGATATCTCTACCAAGGAAATTGCCGCACGTCAGGTCTCAACCGAAGGTGTCCAGCGTCTCGAAGCCAGTCGCAGACTCTAGCCTGCGGTGTGTTCCACTCTTGCTGTGGTGTAGTCTCCCTGGGGGGAAGTGCTCGTCGCTTTCTGCTAGCTTTAAGTCGGGCCTGTCCCTCTACAGGGGGAATATTCAAAAAGAGACACACACACACACACAAAAAAACAGTCAGGGGACTATTTGTTGAGCATCTTTTGGCCATTTTGGGAGCATGTTTGGAGTAGTTGCTTATTTTTCATAGAAAATCCCCCTGTAGGGGGACACGCCCGACTTAATGCTAGCTTCGGCGGAACCCGAAAGCCCCGCGGAGGTCCGCTCGAGGCCGCCTCGCTCGGAGCCTCCCCCCGGAGACGGCGCGCAGACGCAGAGAGCTGACAACGCGCCGGCCGCGAGCGAGCGGCGGCCGAGGCTCTCTCGCCTGCCGTCGTGGGGCCTTCGCACCCCTGCTGGGCTCGTTACCCTTAAGTCGGGCCTGTCCCTCTACAGGGAGAATATTCAAAAATAGTACAAAAATTGTCTGGGGACTATTTTTTTAATACTTCTGGCCATTTTGGAGCATTGTTGAATGTTTTGTATTTTTCGTCGAAAGCCCCCCTGTAGGGGGACACGCCCGTCTTAACGGTACCCGCTGCTCCCCTTCGCTGAAGTGTCGGGGGTGGACAGACCTGCTACCCTGACGCGTCAGTTATAGTGAATTATCCTTTTTCGGTTCTCCCGAGGGCGCCGCGGCCGTCATTTTCCAGGCTTGCGCCCGCCAGGTTTGGGCCCGAAGTCGTTTTCACCAAACCACGTTTTACTAAAGGGGGGTCTGTCCATCCCCGAAAGTGACAACCAGAACCCACGGGCGATCTGTGGGCTGGCAGGCTTTTTTGCACCGCGGGAGCAGCAGTCCTACAGGGTCCGGCTTGAATCAGGAAGGCTCACTGTTCAAAAGGGGGCTCGGTCGTTCCTGTGGTTTGCATGCGTTCCGCTACCTCTTGGGCTTCCTTTGGGCTTCCTAGACTTACTTGGGAACAAAGGGGGCTTCGTTCCTTATGTATCGTTCCTCAGGCCAGGCCGAATCCTGTACACCACGGGCCGCCCAGGACACACTGCGGAAGGATGTAGGACCCTCAGGCAAGCAGAGCAAGCAGAGCTCCGCATGCTTCGTGGCTGCAGGCTCCCCCCATGCCGCCGACAAGTGCCTTGTGCCCGAAGCCCTGGAGGGTGCGTTCGGGCCAAACGACCCTGAAACTCCGCCAGGGCTGCTAGCCTGGTTGGCTTTTCCGGTGCCTCGCTGGGTTGGGGCCCGTGCTCACGCTGCCCAACGCAGTGGACGTCGGTTCCCGGGCCCCCCCTGGAGTTTGGAATATCTGCTTCACCCCCACAAAAGTGGGAGAGGGTCCCGTTCTTCGAACGGATCGCTTCTGATGGCGCCGTATGTATGTAGGGAGGGACGGGGAGGAGCGGGCCGAGTCTTCTCACAGAGTCAGGTGGGGGTTCGCCCCGCGGCCACAACAATGCATGCTGCATATGCCCTGGCCGTCTGAGGGGAAGCTCGTCGGAAGGGGGTCGCGGTGAAAAGGGCAATACGCGGGAAATTACGACGCGCGTACCCAGATTCAAAAGCATTGGGCTTCGGAATCCGTGATCCTACCCTGTCCTGTTTCAGCTCCTCCGCCCTGCTCGTTCCCCATCCCTTCCCTCCTCCTCAAACCTCCTTTCCGCCTTCCTCCTCCTCCTCCTCCTCCTCCTCCTCAGCGCCACCCTTCCCTCCTCCTCCTCCTCCTGCTTCTCCTCCTCCTCCTCCTCCTCCTCCTCCTCCTCCTTCTGCTCGCCCACTCCACTTCCCGAGCAGGCTCCGCGAGAAACTTGAGGGGAAAGAGCGCTGTCCCTGGCTTCTCGCGCTGGCTTGCTGGCCAAAGGGCTCCTACTGTCGACGTGGAGGCACGTGCGATCGCCGGACGCTACACCAACCTGCCGACGAGCTACTCCCAGCCCCCTCCTCCGAGCACAGCCCCGGCCGCCGCGAACCAGGCTGTTCAGGACGACATCCGCGCGGCTCCGATGCCAGGCGATCGCAAACATGGATTAAGGGGGCGTGGATTCGCGACGGGTCCCACTTCCATAGGAGAATCGTGGATACCCGCCGCCGAGCGAGGCGACGCCAGCCGCACTTTGGGGAGGGCGCCTCCCCCGATCCATGGATTTGGCGGCCGCGCGCCAAACCAATGGATCCCTAATCCATGTCTGCGCGCCCCCGACAATGGCAGACCCTCCACGCCGCCCCAGGGTTCGGCGAGTCGTGGCAGCGTTGCTTCACCGCGCCGCATTCAGCACAGCTGTTCTCGGCACATTCCGCAAGGGCATCGGATCCTGGGGCATCTCTCCGTCGCTCCCGCCCGAAGGGCTGGCCGCCCGCTGGGACGTATGGCTGCGGAGCTCAAGCAAGCCTGTCCGAGCTGGCGGTGGGCTGTCAGCAGCCGGACTCGGTCCCCCACCTCCTCTCCTGCCCCGTCTTGCGGAGCCTCCTCTGGCACCCTGACGCTCCTCCAGGGCACACCGCCAGCACGTCCTGGGACGTGGGCCCCGCCGCCGCGCACCCGCCCTGCTGCGGAGAGTCCGGCCTCTCACTGCGCCGGACCGTGCAGCGCTTTACGCTGGCGTAGCACATCCAGACCAACACGGAGAGCACAGTGCCGTTTTTTATACATGTTCCGCGTGCGGATCATGTATTCAAAATGCAAGGATTTAATACTAAAAACAACGATGAATTCGTGCATACATTTATTCAGACATTAATCAAGTATTAAAATCAGATTAAACAAAAATCCCATGTATTAACAATTGCCCTGTGCAGCTGCCCCGGTCGCGACCTCGAAGGCGTCGGCGTGCAGCGCGGCAACGGGCTTTGCCGTGGCGGCAGTGGCCTCTGCCTCCGCCGCCTCTCTGCTGCCCCGAGGCACAGAACCAGTGAACCCGCGGCGAGTCCAGCGCCCCCTTTGACGTTCTCGGCTCGCCCCACAAGTACTGGGACTCCTCCTCGGCCGTTTCCTCCTCCTCCTCCTCCTTCTCCTCCTCCTTCTCCTCCTCCTCTTGTTGTTTTTCCCTTTTCCTTACTGCCTCATCGTCCTCATCCTTGTCGGCCAGTCGGTCGGACTGAAGGCGATTACAGACCGAGGCCTATTGTGGGCACAATTCTGGCGAACAGCCAAGCCAAATGCAGTTCTAATGCAGTTGTGAGTGTCGTCCTCGGTGGGGCTTTTTATGGGGCCACGAAGCGTGTGAGTGGTGTGCCGACATGGACATGCGGGTGGCGGGGAGCCACATGCGAACCCTGTCACTGGAGCTTTCGGTAGAGCTCGGAGGAGGAGGAGAAGGACGAGAAGGAGGAGGAGGAGGAGGATGAGAGGACGCGGGGTGCTTTCTCTTCGGAACGAAGACCTAACACCACGGGATGGTTGGGACAAAATGGGAGGCAAAGAAATATCAAAGGTCCCCCACCTTGGGCGACCTCCGTTGCTCTTCTGCCTACCTCCCCGCGGGCCCGACGAACGGATAGGATAGGGAAAGGGTGGCTTCGACATCGTCTACATGCAGCTAGTTCCGGCCACGCCACCGTGCCCATTCCTCAACGATACATGGGCGCCGCCCAGCGCCAGGAGGCGACAGGGAAACCAGCTACGTCAGGTGATTCTCTTCTACCCGACCCTTTGCTATCCTACCCTTTTGTCCCACCGCCAACGGGCGGGTCGAGGGCCACAGGCGGTGTCCCCACCAGCAGCGCTCGCCAGTGAGGGAAGTTGCGGAAACTTTGCCGCCACTCAAATGCTATTTCTTTTGTCAGCACACGGTGAGGCAGTGGGCAGCATCCGAGAGCCTTGCTTGCTGGCTTCCTTGCTTGCTTGCCTTCGTCTCCCTCGACCCGCCTCCTCCTCGTCCTCGTCTTCCTCCTCCTCGTCCTCGGTGTACTCCTCATCCGAGTCCTCGTCCTCCTCCTCTTCGTCATAATCCTCCTTGTCCTCCTCCTCCTCCTCCTCCTCCTCCTCTTCCTCCTCTTCCTCCGCGTCCTCCGCGTCCTCGTCCTCCCCACTCTCCTCGTCCTCGTACCCCTCCTCGTCCGCGTCCGCCTCCTCCTTGATCTCCTCCTCCCCCTCCTCCTCCTCCTCCTCCTCTTCCTTCTCCTCCTCCTCCTCCTCGTCCTCCTCCTCCTCCTCCTCCTCCTCCTCTTCCTCCTCCGCCCCTCCTCCTCCTCCCCATCCTCCTCGGCCCCCGCCCCATTTTTGGGTTCCAGACGCATGTCTCCCGCGGCCCGTGCCCGGCCCTCTGCGCCCCCGCCGGCGCCGGCCGGCCCCGCGGCGCGGGCGCTGGCGCCAGCGAGCGCCCAGCAGCCGGCTGCCATGGGCGGCGAGGGTCTGCCGCAACCGCCCTTCCAGGAGAAGCAGACACGCCATAGGCATACACAGCGTGCGTATGTAATTCTTCGAGGGTTCTTTGATTTGTTGGGGGCCAAGATCCTTTCATTTCTAATGATTCGATCCTGAGCCTCTTCCTGGCCACTAGGGGGCCAGGATCAAGTAGAAGCGAGCACACTTAGAAATGAGCACGATCCGAAATGAACGACGTGTAATCTGGGCCTCCCAGATGGGGTCGGAGCAGATGGGGTCGGAGGATCGCGCCGCGTCGTCGGTGCATTGCCGTTGCGGCTTGATGTGGAGGCCGATCTGCTTCACGTCGACGTCGCCGATGCATCGCCGATGTCGACATTGCATCGCTGGTGCATCGGCGATACATCGCCGATGCATCGCCGATGTATCGGCGATGCGGCGCGATCCTCCGACCCCATCTACTCCGACCCCATCTAGGAGGCCTCTATATAAACTGTTGGCGCGCGGGTTTCTTGGCTCTGCGCCGGGACCCCTCGGCGGCGCCTCCGGCGCCGCCCCTGGCGCGGTCCAACAAATCTGCGCGGAGCGCCCAAAGTTTCTGTTTATGGCGTTTCAGTTTCTTCTGCTTCCGCAAGAAGATGGGGCTCGCGAAGATCCCCCCGGCCAGCGACGAGGCCCTGCGTACATAGGGGCATGGCCCAGACATGCTCGCGTCGCGGCAAAAAGGCAGGGCGGGCGGTTTTTCTCAGACTTCGGCTTCCGGGGGCCCTCGCCGGGCCCCGGGCCCGTCAAAACACGATTCAGGGGGTCAACTGACCGGTCCCAGGCAAGGGGTCGGGACCTTTTTGGGGAAAGCCCTACCGAACATGTCGCAGACAGGTTCGCGTCGTGAAAAAGATAAGGGCGGGCGGTTTTGTTTGTGTCACGTGCGGCCCCCAGGGGCCCTCGCGCTGCCCTGCCAAATTGGCAATGCACCGCTCAGGAGGGAGAACGGCCCCCAGGGGATGGGGGTCGGGACTTCCGTGGGCCGCGTACGGAACAGATGAGGACGTCGCATGTCCGGGACCCTGAAATCACCACCACAGACCTCTGCACGAACGAGATGGGTACGGTAAGAATGGGTGCAATGCCCAACAGCAGTTCCTGCCCATTTTGAACAGGACTCGCTGTCCGCGCCGCCGCAGCCTGTGTCCATTCGAGACAGGAGGCCGCCTGCCCAACAGCGGCCGCTGTTGGTTTGGGACAACATGTGTTGTTGGGCACTGTACCCATTCTTTCCGTACCCATGTCGGGCGTCCAAACAGACCACGCGCGGCTGACCTGTTGGTACTGCGCTTGGCTGGGCGCGCGTGGGCCCTGACAGCAAAGAACTAGACGGTGGGGGCCCATGCCAAGAAGCACCCTGCTTGTCTCCAGGGTGCCCTAGGTGTCTTGAGTTTCGATGGTTTCGCGATGGAGAGCGTGAAGTTCCCACATCAAAAATCAATGGACATCCTGGTGCCTCAAGGTTGGGTTGCTTGTGGAAGGGTTCTTGTGGACCAGCCTTCACGTACCACGGATGAGCGATGCAGCAGAACGGGGTCGACTGTCCCGACATTCGCGCGTAACCTTGTCGCATGAGGTCGCGTTTACACGCCCTCTTCTCCACGCGGTGTGGCTCGCTGGCTTGTTCGCGGAAGCCGCGGCGTATGGTGACTGCGCCACCGTGCGTAAGACCCGTGTCTTCTCGTCGCTCAGGTGTCAGGCAGCTGCTGATTTCTCCCCTGGCGAAAACGGGCGTGACTGGGGGGAAGGAGGAGGAGGAGGAGGAGGAGGAGGAGGAGGAAAGAACGCCACAGGGGAACCTTAGGTCGGTCTAACGTAAGACATGGGAGGAGGAGGAGGAGGAGGAAGAGGAGGAGGAAGAAGAGGTGGCCGGTCACGTCACAGTTCGGGCCGGCGCCTTCTGGGCATGCTCAGGAAATGCTGATTCCCAGACGACGCTGGCGCGAATCGCAAATCGTGACAAGGGGGGGAGAGAAACGGGGCTGGCTACAGGCGCCATCGCGAATATGGTCAACCCGCATGGTAAGGATGGGCGACCTTCCCAAGGGTACCCTTGCCTCCATGCCTCCTCGGTCCACCCTTGGCTACTTGCGTTGGCCGCGCCCTTGCATTCCTATGAAACGGGTCGACTGTAATACACACCTCGTCCGTTCCTCCTCCTCCCCCTCCTCCTCCTCCTTCTCCTCCTCCTCCTCCTCCTCCTCCTCTTCCTCTTCCTCTTCGTCCTCCCCTCCTCCTCCTCCTCCTCCTCCCTCTTCTCTTTCTCCTCCTCCAGCTCCTCCTCCTCCTCGAGCTCCTCGTCTCCTCCTTCTCTTTCTCTTCTCCTGCGCCTCCTCCTCCTTTTCCTCCTCTCTTTTCCTCCGCCTCCGCCTCCTCGTCTCCTCCTTCCTCTCCTCCTCCTCCTCCTCCTCCTCCTCCTCCTCCTCCTCCTCCTCCTGGAGGGGGGCACCATGGGCTCAAGCCGTCCTTTTATTTCTGCGGCAGTGGTGGCGGGAAGGCATCCTCCCCGAGGCCTCCGTGCCCAGCGCCCGCGCTCCCAGCGCGGCGGAGGCGGGGCTCGGCTGGGGGGCGGCCGCCGACCCGGCCAGGCTTGGGGGCGTTCAAGCTCGAAGGCACATCGCCTCCCTGCCTGCCTACCTCGATGTCGTCTCCTCCTCCTCCTCCTCCTCCTCCTCCTCCTCCTCCTCCTCTCCTCTTCGTCCTCCTCCTCCTCTCCTCCTTTTTCGTCCTCGTCTTCCTCCTCCTCTTCGTCCTCTTTCCTCCTCCTCCTCGTCCCGCCTCCTCTCCCTCCTCATCGTTCTCCTCCTTTTCCCCTCCTCCTCCGCCTCCTCCTCCTCCTCTCTCCTTCCTCCTCCTCCTCCTCCTCCTCCTCCTCCTCCTCCTCCTCCTCCTCCATCTGCTCCTCCTCCTCCTTCATCTCCTCCCCATCCCCCCTGGTCGGATAGAGCCAGGACCCTCCCTCCCTGCCTTGCTCGATATCGCCTCCTCCTCCTCCTCCTCCTCCTTCTCCTCCCTTTCCTGGCGACTTCTCATCCTTTCCATGTCTCTAGGCCTCCTAGATGGGGTCGGAGCAGATGGGGTCGGAGGACCCCTCCGCATCGCCGATGCATCGACGATGCTGCTCGGTGTGGAGCCCGAGTTTCTCCACGCCGACGTCGTCGACGCATCGCCCATGTATCACCGATACATCGGCGATGCATCGCCGATGTATCGGTGACTCATTGGCGATGCGGCGCGATTCTCCGACTCCATCTGCTCCGACCCCATCCAGGAGGCCTCAAACGAGAGCATGGTCGGAGGCCTGGAAGTTGGCACCAACACTTCTGTCGGTGCCGTGCCTCGTCCGAGGGAAGACGATCGATCTCGGCGATTGTGGTAACAGTTGGGTTTCCCAGGCGGCCGACAGACATAGTTTCACCAAGGCCAGCATCTACGATCATTTTCGTAAGGTGGAGACGCCTCCCTGCGTTGGTGTTCGTCCCCGTTTCCAAGCCTCCAGCGACAAGGGATAATTGGATAACCGTAGACTTTGGAGGGCCCTGCGCGCTGTTCGGATCGGCGCAGGAGCCCCCCTGGCGGCGCCTCCAGCGCCGATCCACATCATTGCGGGAGCTTTTCGGCAGTTGATTGTTTCGGGGAGCCCTCGCCGGGCCCCATAGCCGTCAAACATCGACTCGGGATGAGTAACGGGTCCTGGGGACCTGGCCCAGACCTCGGAGGTACACGCTACGATATCACGAGCACGACGTCGGAGTTCTGGGCCCGTAGGTCCAGATCTCTGGCGATGGTTTTTCGTTTTTCGATCCCGGCGAGGGCTTCTTTCGATCTCGGCCTCTTGCACGCGCGAATCGGGCCTACAAGACAGTCACCAGCTGATCTGGGACGCCAAGTTTCCCCCTCGCCCTCCCCATGGCCCTCCCCATGGCCGTGGCCAAGAAGGCTGAGAGATTTGATTCCCCCGTCCTCTTTCCATGCGCTCCCCAGTCTCCCACGTCCGCCAACATGTGCCTCGAACCCTGGTGCAGTAACCCTCCTCTTCCGGTCCCCCCCTTGTTTGGCTTCGTTGCCCCCGCAGGTGCCCGTCCCCGAAGAGCCGCTGCGCCGCAGAGTCCCGGTCCTGCTGCCCATCCTCCTTCTCGTCCTGCCCTTCCACAACCTCATGCCCTCATCTTCCTCTCTTCCCCCCCCTTCCTCCTCCCCCCTCCTTCGCATCCTTCTCCTTTCCTTTCAGACGCCTCCTCCCCATCTGACCACCAGACATGTCCAGGAGGCGGATCGTTTTCAAAATGGAGCTCTCGCCATGGCGCCGCGCGCAATCGTCGGTGAAGCTTGCAACAGCAAGGATAAATGGGTGGGCTTTGTTCAAGATGGAGCTTTTGCAGATGCGCACGCACACTCATTCGTCTTTGAATGCTCATTTTCACGCTTGGGCATTCGCCTGAGACCGCATGTAAAACATGCAACAAGCACTTCTGCTCAAACACTTCAGCGCTCATACGGATTGATGCCATTTCGTTTTTCTGAATTGGGCTATCGCCTTAGATTGTTGGTTGGTTTGCAAAAGATTTCCTGGTGGAGAGCAGCTACCTGCTTCAGAACGGAGCTCTCTGAGTGGGTTTCTGCGCTTGACTTCCTGAAACGGAACTATCACATGCTTGAACACATGCAGCGTACGGATGTATGGCGGTCCTCTTGAACGTGGGGCTCTCGCACTAGTTCGTGCGATTCGGATGTGTGACTAGACCTGGAAACTCGTCCACCAGTGGCACGGGAGTGTCTGCTCCTTCCCTCCCTCCCTCCCTCCCTCCCTCCCTCTCTCCCCCCCTCCTCGGTCCTCGAGTCTCCCTCCTCGGTCCTCGAGTCTCTCCCCCCCTCCTCGGCCCTCCTCGGTCCTCCCTCCCCCCCTCCCTCCCTCCCTCCCCTCCTTCCCCCCCCCCTCCCTCCCTCCCTCCCTCCTTCCTCCCTCCCCCACTCTCTCCCCCCCTCCTCTCTCCTCCCTCCCTCCCTCCCTCCCTCTCTCCCTCTCTCCCTCTCTCCCCCCCTCCTCGGTCCTCGAGTGCCCCCCCTGGCGGCGGCGCCGCCGTGGTGTGCGCGGCGGCGGGCGCCTGCGCCGGCGGCCAGCCCGGCGGCAGGGCGGCGGCGGGCGGCTGTGCGACAAGGACGGCAGGATGAGGAGGAGGAGGAGGAGGAGGGGGAGGAGGAGGGGGAGGAGGAGGTGGAGGGGGAGGAGGAGAGGGGGAGGAGGAGAGGAGGAGGAGGAGGAGAGGAGGGCGAGAGGAGGAGGAGGAAGAGGAGGAGGAGGCGGAGGAGGAGGTTCGATGCTCCTCGGGCCTGCAGGGTGAGGAGAGGGAGGCGAGGGAGGAGGAGGAGGAGGAGCAGGAGGAGGAGGAGGAGGACGAGGAGGACGAGGAGGAGGAGGAGGAGGACGAGGAGGACGAGGAGGACGAGGAGGACGAGGAGGAGGAGGATAACGAGGAGGAGGGGGAGGAGGAGGACGAGGAGCGCGAGGGGGAGGAGGAGGACGAGGACGAGGAGGAATGGAGGAGGAATGGAGTGAAGAGGTGGAGCAGGAGGAGGAGGAGGAGGAGGGGGACGAGGAGGAGGGCGAGGAGGGGGCGCAGCGAACGACCAGGGGGCGGGGAGGGATGAAGGTCCCTGAGGACTGGGCGACTTTTCGCCAATCGACTTGTGGGGATCGGGCCAGATACACCCAGGCTGTTGCAGATATCTGAAGGCAAATCCATGCTGATCGTGGCTAGGTCCGGTCAATCCACAGATCGCCACGGAAAGTATCGCGGCCGATCCAGCGCGAATCGAGGGACGGCAGAAGCCGTTCGGCCTTTACGAAGGTTGGCCCCCTCGTTGGCACAGTGGTGCAGGGCTGGCGGCATGTCGCAGTGACCCCTCGCTGGGGGGGGCCCGCGGGGGTCCCACGCTCGCTGAACGCGAGGCGGTGGCAGCGGCTTGGGCGCCTCGGTGTTTTTGCCCCCTCGAGGAGGGGGAGGAGGAGGGGAGGGGGAGGAGGAGGAGGGGGAGGAGGATGAGGAGAGGAGGGGGAGGAGGAGGAGGAGGAGGGGGAGGTGGGGGGAGGAGGGGGAGGGGGAGGAGGAGGCGGAGGAGAGAGGAGGAGTAGGAGGGGGAGAGGAGGAGGAGATGAGGAGGAGGAGGAAGGATGAGGATGAAGTAGAGGGGGCGAGGAGGAGGAGGAGGAGGAGGGGGAGGGGGATGAAATGATGATGGATGATGAGATGATTGATGATGATGATGGATGATGATGGGATGATGATGATGATGATGATGATGATGAGATGATATGATGTGAGATGAGTGACCGATGCGATGAAGCTTGACGAGAATGATGATGATGATGAATGCCATGAACGAATGACGATGACGATGATTGAGGATGATGATGATGAGTGATTGATGATAATGATTGATGATGATGAATGATGATTGCTGCTTATGATGATGATGATGATAAAATGATGCGGATGCATGATGATGCATGATGCTGCTGATGGTGGTGGTGGTGGGTGGTGTGGTGATGTGATGATGATGATGATGATGATGATGATGATGATGAGATGATCTGCGGATGAATGAAGAAGAAAGAAGAAACAGAGGAGGAAGGAGGATGACGAAGGAGGAGGAGGAGGGTAGGCGGAGGAGGAGTAGGAGGGGAGGGGAGGAGGAGGAGTAGAGAAGGATTGGATGAGGAGGGAGGAGGAAGGGAAGGAGGAGAGGGGAGGAGGAAGAGGATGAGGAGGCGGATGACGGAGGAGGAGGGGGAGGAGGAGTGCTTCGGTGTTCTGGCCCATCGACGCTTCTCCCCAGGGCTGCACACCAACGGCCCCTCTTACCGCCCGGGGCCGCTCCTCGTGTGCAGTGCCGAGAGGGGGCTCGGGCCTCGTCGCGTTGTGAAGCAGAAGTCGACAAGAGGAACGACGCCATCCACACTGTGCAGTTCTCATTATTCGGAAGTTCTTTGATTGTTTGGGGGGCCGAGGTCCTTTCATTTCTAATTGTTCTATCCTGGGCCTCTTCCTGGCCACTAGGGGGCCAGGAACCATCAGAAACGAGCACAATTAGAAATGAGCACGATTACAAATGAACGACGTGTACGCAAAGATACGGCAAGTTCGTGTCGTGTCTACCGGCGGCGACCCCGCCAGCGGCGTTCAACACTGAACGCCGCGGGCGACCCAGAATCGTTCGATGTGGAACGATTTGGGCGTTCTCGGAAACGGCCGATCGTTCAAGGCTGAAGGATCCCCGCGGTGCCAGAGACCAGCGCCGAAGCCGGCACGACACGAGCCTGACGTAGGCTTCCGGGCGTCCGCGCGGATTTTTTGGGTCTGCGCCCGGCCTCCCTGGCGGCGCCGGGGCGCGCTCCGCGCGCCGGGGAGGAGGGGGTCCAGCGCCGAGCCAAGAGATTTGCCCGGACCTCTGGAAGTTCATGTGTATGTCAGTTCCCCTGCTGTGTCGAAGAAACGACGGAGGGGTTCGAGCGATTTTCAAATCGTGGCGGCCCTCCCCAGGCGCGGGGACCGCCAGACAACGATTCGGGAAGATGCACCCTTTCCCTGGGAAAAGGGGTCCAGGTCTCTGGGGGCACATGTCGTTAACAAGCACAACGTCGGAAGTCTGGAAGGAGGGGGGGGAGGGGAGAAGGGAAGGGGGAGTGGGAGGAGGAGGAGGATGTGGATGAGGAGGATGGGGAGGGGTGGAGAGGAGGGGGCAGGGGGAGAAGGAGGAGGAGGAGGAGGGAGGAGGAGGAGGAGGAGGAGGAGTAGGAGGAGGAGGAGGCGGAAGAGGAGGAGAAGAGGAGGAGGAGCAGCAGGAGGAGCAGGAGGAGCAGGAGGAGCAGGAGGAGCAGGAGGAGCAGGAGGAGCAGGAGGAGCAGGAGGAGGTGCCGACGCAGTGCAGACCGCGACGCCAAGGTTCTGGTCGCGCTCAGCACCTGCCGGCTTGTGACCGTCCCCAGGGCCGTCAGCAAAACGACTCCAGGATGAAAGGCCAGTTCCAGGAAACGCGCCGCAGCTCGCAGGCGATTTTCTGTGAAATCTCCGAGTTCTGCCTCAACAGAGAAATCCGCGCAGAGCTCAAACAAATGATGTGTATGCCGTTGTTTTTTCCTCTGCTGCCGGGGGCCTCGCCGTGAGCTGGCGGCGCGCACCAGCGGAGAAAGGCCGTGGGGGATCTGTGCTGACGTGCTCGTGGGTGCCTGGAGGTTTTGCGACCTCGGCGTGGTCCCCAGCAGCTGCGCCTCGCCGGGCAGGCGTCTGGGGCGGAGGAGGAGGAGGAGGAGGAGGAGGAGGAGGAATGAGGAGAGGAGGAGGGGGGGGGGAGGAGGAGGAGGAGAGGAGGAGGAGGAGGAGGAGGAGGAGGAGGAGGAGGAGGACGAGGCAGACGAGGGGGATGGAGGGTAGGAGGAGAGAGGAGGAGGATGAGGAGGAGGAGGAGGGGTGGAAGAGGGGGAGGGGAGGACTCGAATCTCAGGGCGTGCCTCTCCCCCCCCCACCACCCCGAGGTCTCCCCGGGCGGCAGCCTCCCCCGCGCGGCAGCGGCAGGCCTCGCCGCGCGGCGACGCCCTGAAGGCGGCCGTGCGCGAGGCGGTGCGGCTGGAGCTGGCGGACTTCTTCGGCCGCCGGGGGGAGCGCGGAGAACGAAACCGACGGGCCAGTGTTCCTCCGCCACCACCACGAGTTGGGGGGGGGGGTCCTCCTCCCCTTCCTCCTCCTCCACCTTCCTCCTCCCCCCCTCCCTCCTCCTCCTCTCCTCCTCCTCCTCCTCCCTCCTCCAATCCCTCAACTCCTCCTCCGCCATCCTCCTCCTCCTCCTCCTCCTCCTCCTCCTCCTCCTCCTTCTCCCCCCCCTCCTCCTCCTCCTCCTCCCTCCTCCTCTCCTCCTCCTCCTCCTCCTCCTCCTCCTCCTCCTCCTCCTCCTTCTGCTCCCCCTCCTCCTGCTCCTCCTCCTCCTCCTCCTCCTCCTCCTAATCCTCATCCTCCACCCCCTTCCCCCCTGCAACTATGGTGGTGGTGGTGGTGGTGGTGGTGGTGGTGGTGGTGGTGGTGGTGGTGGTGGTGGTGGTGGAAAGCAGGCCCATCAGAAACACAGCACTGTAACAGGGCTCACTTTGATTCCCTCCGATGCGATGCGTTTCGATTTCGGTGGCTTCCGATGCCGATTCGGTTCCATTTCGGTTCGGTCTCCGATGCCTTATTGGAGGCTTACTAGCTTGCCGATTTCCGCCGATTCGACTTTTCCCGACTCGGCTGCCGATTTCCGCCGATCCGATTCATTTCGATCGCGGATTCGACTTATGGATTTGATTTTGGGGATCTCCTACTGGAATGAGGGATCGACTGCAGAGTCGCTTTACACCGAGATCGTGTTCTTCGTCGAGCCCTCCCGAAAGCACGTAGAATGCGCGTAGAATTGCTAGCAGTCTGCGCATTTGATGCACATCCGACGCAGAGTTAAAACCCTGGGCCAATCCATTCTGTAGCCCACCCCCTATTCGAGATGCAAACATCCCCATTCGGAGCTCCGCGCAGGTCTCTTGGATCCGCCCTGGGCCCCCGGTTTCTGTTTGTGTGGTTGCCCGTTCCTCCAGGAGCTGCTGCCGCGCAGCGGCCGCTCGAAGAGCACGGCAACAGGGTCGATGAGCCCGAGGTCGGCAGGGGGGGAGCACAAGGATAGAGGGAGGGGGCCGAGCGGTCCTGCCTGAAGTGCGTGCCCGAAGCTCCCTTGGTGCGTGCCCGAAGTGGGCTGCCGCGGTGGGGGGTTCTTGATTCTTGTTGTCTGTTGTTTGCTGCTTCTTCTTGTTTGTTGTCCGTTGTTGTCGTCGTTCTCGGCCGCGACCCGCCCGCGACCAAGCCCGCCATCCACCAGCGAACCACCCTCGACACATCGCCATTGGTTCCACGAAAATCCGACGCCTGCGGCGAATTGGTTGCGCAATGTGCAAGGTAAACATGTGAGAAAGCATCGGCGTCTGCGGCGGGCTGCTTCAGAGCCCCGCAGATTGCCGATGCCCCCGCAGGTATTTCCGAGCATCTCATAGCCTCACAGCGCAGCGGGCTTCTTCAGAGCCTCGCAGAATATCGCTCTGGTCTTCAACTGCGGTGGCTATGGTATATCACATTACGGTGGGGCGTTGGTTAAGGAGTGTGCCGAGGGGGCTTCATGCATTGGGGTTCCTGATCTGATGAGGGCGGCAGTGGTATCCGTAGTCGATCCACGATGAGAGTTCCACCGGCTTCCAGACATAGTTTCTGGATGCAGTGGTTCTTCATCCGACGCCATCACCGTGCCCTGGCCCCCGCAACTGCGGGCAAGAGCGAGGGGGCGGGCGCGGGAGGAGGTCAGCTGCGAGGGTCGAGAGGCAAACTTGAAGAGAAGCCCGCCGCGGGCGCCGACTTCTCACACGTTCAGGCGCAGGCGCTGGTCAAAGGAGTGTGGGTGGGCCGCGGATGGGTCGCGGGCTGGTCGCGGGCGAGCAGGACGATACGAACACATCATCGAGAACCTCAACACTCATCTTAGCATTGGTCGCTTCTCGTTGCTCGAGTGTCATTCAATCTGCAGGTCCAGAACCTTTGATACCCGCCCTCTTCGTCTTCGATTTCATTTTTTGGGGGTATGCCTTCGTTACCTGCCGCGTGTAGTTGGCGCGGCTTCTGTCATAGCAGAAGGAGGAAGAAGGGGAAACGGGAAACTGGAGAGGGCGAGGAAAGGAGGAGACAACGAAAAAGGAGGGGGGCAAAGGGAGGGAAGGGCAAACAGATTCAGCACGAGGGGGAAGAGAGAGGAATCATAAGTTTGGCAAGCGGGCCCTGCCTGGCGGGTCCGATGTGCGGGCCCTAACTGGCGGGTCGGTCGGGCGGGCCCTAACGGTCAGGCCGGGCGGGCGGGCGGGACACGAAAGCGGGCGGAAAGGCCTACAAGCACGCGGTCGAGCGGACCCTGACGGGCAGGTCGGACGGGCGGACCCTGATGGGCGGGTCGGGCGGGCGGACCCTAAGGGGCGGGCCGGGCTGGCGGACCCCAGCGAGCGGGTCGGGCGGAGTTTTGAAGCGGGCGGGCGGGCTTGAAGCAGGTGGGTGGGCGGCCTCCGACGGGCATGGGCTCTGACGGGCTGCTCGGGCGGGTGGGCCGTAAGGGGCGGGTCGGGCGGGCGAGACACGGAAGCGAGTTCTGCATTTGCGAGGACGTTTCAGGCGAGCGTGCGTGTCCTCAGCACATCGCAAGGAAGGGAGCGTCGTCTATTAGCTTAGCCCGTCACGTTTGCGACGGGAAGACCCCCTCCCTAAAAGCAGGGCTGGACCCATGGACCCAAACGCTGTGTTGCTGGATTTCGGCTGTGTTTTGTTTCTCGTTTTGGCAAAGAGGTACAGGAACCAGGTAGAGCAAAACGCAAAACAAAACGAACACAAAACGAAAAACAATGCTTAGGTCCAGCCCAGCCGAAAAATGCGGTATCGAACAGGCGCGTGGGTGGTGCCGGCTCCCCCATCAAGTGTGGTGCCATGCTCACGGGCGAGCTGTAGTGCTGGCAGACATGCTTGGGTCTTCACAAGCGTTGGCGCTCGCAGGCATCCGGTTCGCTGGGTACGCCAGGTACGCCAGGAGAGCGGTGTTGTTGCTGCTCCTGCTGCTGTTTCTGCTGCTGCTCTGTTTGTTTCTCCTGCTCCTCCACTGGTGTTCCTACTCCCGCGCTTTTCCTGCTGATCCTCCTGCTGCTCCTCCCGCTGCTCCGCCTGTTGTTCCTCCTACTGCTGCTTCTCCTGTTGCTCCCCTTGCTGCTGTTTCTACTGCTGCTCCTCGTCCTGTTCATCCTGCTGCTCTTCCTGCTGCTATCCGCCTGCGCCTTTTGCTATTCCTGCTGCTGTTCCTCCCCCCCTTTCTCCTGCGGACTCCTGCCTGCTCCTGCTGCTCCTCCTGCTCCTCCTGCTGGTCCTCTGGCCATCTCTTCTGCTGCTCTTCCTGCTGCGTTTCTTGCTGTTGCTCCTCCTGCTGATCCTCCCGCTGCTCCTCGTGATTTCATTTCCAGCTCCTCCTTCTGCAGCTATAGCTGCGGATTCTCCTGCTCCTCCTGCTGCTTTCCTCCCTGCTGCTCTTCCTGATGCTCTTGCTCCTCCAGATTTTGCTGTGTTCATGCTCCTCTTCCTCCTGGTGCTCCCCCTATTTCTTTGGCTCCCCTTAGTGTTGGCGTGCTCTTCCTCTGGCTGCACCTCCTGTTGTTCCTTCTGCTGCTCCAGTCTGCTTCTCATGCTCCTCCTCCCTGCTCCTCGTGCTCTGGCTCGTGCTGCGCCTCCTGCTGCTCTGGTATATCATCCTGCGGTTCCTCTTGCTGCTCCTCCTACTTGATGTCGTTGTTGCTGCTCCTTTAGCTGGTCCTCCTGATTATCCTGCTGCTGTTCCTCCCGCTCCTGCTGCTCATCCTGCTGCTGCTGTTGCTGTTGCTGTTGCTGTTCCTCCTGCTGCCATTCATATCATTGCAATAACAGACACGACGAGTACGATTGCCATGATCACTGCCACTACTACCTCCACTACTACTCCCATTACTACTGCTACAATTACTATTGCTACTACTACTACTGCTACTACTACTACTACTACTACTACTACTACTACTACTACTACTACTACTACTACTACGACTACGACTACGACTACTGCTACTATTGCTACTACTACCACTACGATTACTTCTACTACTACTACTACTACTACTACTACTACTACTACTGTTACTTCTACTTATACTTCTACATCTGGTCTACTCCTACTACTACCACGACTACCACTACTACTACTACTACTACTACTACTACTACTACTACTACTACTACTACTACTACTACTACTACTACTACTACTGTTATTACTACTACGACTACTACTACTACTACTACTGCTACTACCACTACTACTCCTACTACTACGGCTACTACTACTACTACTACTACTACTACGACTACGACTACGACTACTACTACTACTACTGCTACTACAACAACAACTACTACTACTACTACCACTACTACTACTACTACTACTACGACTACTACTACTACTGGTACTTCGATTACTCTTGCTAATTTTCTTAGTATTACTACTACTACTACGAGTACCACTACTACTACTACTGTTACTACTACTACTACTACTACTACTACTACTACTACTAGTATTACAGCTACTACTACTACTACTACTACTACTACTAATAATACGAGTACTACTACGACTTCTTCTTCTCCTCCTACTACTACTACTACTACTACTACTACTACAGGTACCCCAGCTACAACTACTACTGCTGCTGCTACTACTACTGCCAGTACTACTACTACTACCACCACTACTACTACTACTACTACTACTACTACTACTACTACTACTACAAGTACTACTTCTACTATTCGTACTACTACTTTGGACTACTACCATGAGTCTTACTCTTACGGCTACGACTACGACTAGTAGTACTACTAGAACTACTTCTACGACTTCTACTACTACTTCTACGAATATTACGGCTACTACTAGTACTACTGCGAATACTAATATTACACTTGCTATGCGTACTACTACTTTCACTGCTCCTACTACCACCCTGAAGGTTACTATTTTTACTGCTGCTATCGACTACTAATATTATATTCATTACTACCACTACCACGACTACGAGCTCTACTACTACCATTATCAATATTACTACTAGTGCGATGACTACGGCTACTACAACAGCTACTACTACTACTGCTTCTATTAGTATTACGACTTCTACTCTTACAACTTCGACGACGACGACTAGTACTACTACTATTACTACTACAACTACTAGTAGTACCACGACTACTAATACTACCCCTACGGTTCCTGCGACTACTACGACTAGGACTTCGACTACGATGTCGAATACTGCGATGTCTACGACTACTACCACTACTACTACGACTACGACTACTACTACTACTGGTACTTCGACTACGTCTCTTACTACTACTTCTTCATCGGTTCTACGACTACTACTCTGACGACTACGGCGTCTACGAATACCAATTTTATAATTACCAGGACTACTACTGTTACTTTACCTCGGATATTAGTATTGCTACTACTACTGCAATTACTAGTACGATTTCTACTACTATTTCTTCTCACAACATCTTTACTACTACTACGACTACTACGAGTACTACGAGTACTACGACCACTACTACCCATTTGACTACTAGCACTACTTCTACCAACGCTACTACGACTATTACCTCTACTACTACTTCTACTACTACCACTACGACTACGACTACTACTACTACTACGACTACTACTACTACTACTACTATGACTACTACTACTACTACTACTACTACTACTACTACTATTGCTACTACGACTACGAGTACGACGACGACGACTACTATTATTACTATTTTCTATTATCACGACTACTATTACTACTACAACCACTACTACTATTATTACTACTACTACTTCTACGACTGCTATTGCTGCTGCTATGCTGACATCTACTGCAACGGCTACGACTACTGCGAAAACAAGTACTGCAAGTTTTGTTTTTTTTTTACTACGACTACGTTTACTACTTCTAACTACTACCACTACTACTACCTTCTATAGGTATTCGTATTACAGCTGCAGTTGTGCGACCATGACCAGTATAACCACGACTACGACTACGACTTCGATTACTGGTACTAACACTACCACCACCATTACGGCTACTACGACTATCATTACTGTTACGACTGCTTCTACTACGACGATCTCTACGATTCTTTTTGCCGGCTGCAACTTTTACCCTTACTGCGTTTATGAGTACTATTACTTGTACTTCACTCCTCCTACTACTATTACTACTTTTACTGCTCCTACTACTACTACTACTACTACTACTACTACTACTGCGACTACGATTACTACTATTTATTCTAGTACTATCACAACTGCGACTACGACTACGACTAGGACTACGACTATCATTACTACTACTACTACTACTACTACTACTACTTCTACTACTACTACTACTACTACTACTACTACTACTACTGCTGCTACTGCTACTGCTACTGCTACTACTACTACTACTACTACTACTACTACTACTACTACTACTACTACGACTACGACTACTACTACTACTACTACTACTACTACTACTACTACTACTACTACTACTACTACTACTACTACTACCACTAGTACAACTACCACTACTACGATTAGTTTGAGGGGGGTCCTGTGGAACTCACGTCATCCTGACACCCGGCGTGCGTGGCAAGGGCCCCGCCGACCGCCCCCCCAGATCCGCTTCTGGTGGGATCCGGCGAATCTGGCGAATCCGGCGACGAATTCCAAACTGGCGCCCTCGCGTGGGACATCCTCACAGGGCCTCCCCAGCGAATCCAGCGACGAATTCCTCGCGTGGGACATCCTCAGAGAAACCGGCGTCCCGAAGGAGGCCCTCAGATGCCCCCCCGTTCCGTTTCCGGCGCGATCTGGCAATTCCGGCGACAAGTTCCAAACAGGCGCCCCCGCGTGGGACATCTTCAGAAAAACCGGCACCCAGAGCCTCCCAAAAGAGGCCTTCGGAGACCCCCCTATTTCGTTTCTGGCAAAATCCGGTCAATGCGGCGACAATTTCCAATCCGGCGCCCTCGCGTGGGACATCCTTAGAAAACCGGCCCCCAGGGCCTCCCCAAGGAGACCTTCAGTGTAGTGGTATAGTAGTAGTGGTATCACTAGTGGCTACTGTTGCTACGACGACTACCCGATTTACTACTACGACTACTTTTTCGCGCTGCTCGTGATATTGTTTTCCATGCTATTGCTACTGTTCTTGTAGTTTCGCCAGTGCTATTCGTCGTCGCCGTCTGTCTTCTCACCGCGCGTCGTCGTTATCGTCGCCGTTGACCATCGTCGTCGACGTCGTCGTCGTCGCCGGCGCCGCCCGTCGTCGTCGTCGTCGTCACCGAACTGTCTGGTCTTTGTCTTTGTCGTTGTCGTCGAAGTCGTCGTCTTCGTTGCCGTTGCCGTTGTCGTTGTCGTCGCCGTTGGTGGTCGTCGTCGTCCTCGTCGTCCTGGTGGCTTTTCTATTGATGCTCCTAGTGCTGCTACTAACATCGCGGCTGCTAGTACCATGCCCGAGCCCGCCACGATACCTTTACCCCCCACGGCGGCCGGACCCCTCCCGTCACGGACGTTACCAAAGGGTCTAAAAAAACGCTTTCGAATTCTCGCGTGAGAGCGTTGTTCCTGGGCTTCCAGGGCGCGGCGTTTTAATATATTGTTAGGAGGTCCTAAGCGAGAACGCGATTCCTCAGCGATGTTGGGTGGCGTCCCGCGCGGGAGCGCGCTTTTGAGTACACTGCGAGGAAGTATCCGGCGGGCGCAGCTGTTGTTGTAGCCACGTTCTGAATAACAAATATGTGGACCGAAGACCGCGCTCGAGCGTGAGCGTCGTCGTCCTGGAAGACGCAGCCCACGCTCGAAAGTGAGTGGTCCGTCAATTGTCCGTATATCAGCAGCAGGTTTGATATGAGTGATCAAGAACGCGCAAGGCGGATTCCATTTCAAACACGCACCCAAGGACAGTGTAAGGCCGATCGGCCCTCCCACCCTGATAGCGGATACCGACCCAGATATCCGACGGCACGATTTGTTTTGCAATTCCCGGCGTGTGTTCCCACATGTTGGCCATTTGGGGTCTGGTTCCGGCCCCCTGGATCATCAACACAAGAGCCAGGCAGATCTTGGGAACGGTTCGGGATATCTGAGGGCTTGCTTGGGACCCGTTTGGAACTTGGTTTTGGACCCGGGAGGTAGCACATTCTTTTTGTTCGTGGGCGGCCAGGCAGAGTCACTGCGCTGGCGGTCGGGCGTTGGTGGGCGCACGAAACGCGAATGGAGCCACCGTGCAGGAGGGGGGAGGGAAGAGGCGCCCGGCGGCGGCGGGAGGGGGGGGGGAAGCCAGGCCCGTTCAGAGCGGACCCAGGCGTACGAAACGAACGGGGAAGGGGTCGGGGTTTCTGGGGCCGCGCACGCAGAAAACCCGCGTCGTGAGATACTGGTGCCTGTGCCTCTGCGCCTCCCTCCCCCGGGTCTCGCCTCCGGGGCCGTCCCCACAGAAGGCCCTCGTCGCCGCGATCGCCACGGCTTGATGGGCAACTTTTCCTCCATTGTTACCATATGTAATCTGTAGAACGGGGGGGGAGGGAGGACGAGGAGGTTCTCCTCCTCCTCCTCCTCCTCCTCCTCCTGCTTCTCCTCCTCCTCTTCCTCCTTCTCCTCCTCCTCCCCCTCCTACGTATGGAAGTTGTGGTGGTGAAGGGGCCCGTCCACGGCTGGATGGTGATCGTCTTCTTCTACCTTGTTTTGCCGATCGGCGCGGGCCCTCGGACCTCCCCTGCCCCCCCCCCCCACCATTGAGTAGATCCTAGCTGTTTCTGGCGCCTGCGTCAGGCAGGCGGAGTCTCCCCCATGGGACGCGCTGCTGCAAACCGCCGCAGGGTTATGCCCAGGGTCACTCCTGCGTGTATCTTCTTCTTATTATTCCTCGTCTTCTTCTTCTTATTATTATTCTTCTTATTCTTCTTCTAGAGTAGTAGGCGATCCAGCTTCTGCCTTGCCCCCTCGGTTGGCTGCACTCCGGCGGTGTGTCGCCCAGGCAGGCCAGGGCGGACGACAGACGGAGTATGACAGCTGCACTAAGCAGAGGTCCGGAGCCCTCACCCCCCCCTCCCCCCGCCCAATGTCGAAATGCCGAATAAGAAAGTGCCCGCATGTGCCAGATCCTGGTCGGAGCGCGCTCCGGGAGGGAACCCCTGGGGAGCAGCGGCTCTGGCCGTCTTGCGCTCCCCTCGAGGTGGGCTACGCACGAGCAGGGCCCGTCGCGCCTGGAGCCAGACACTTCCTCGAGGTCCGGCGTGAAGGGAGGGGCCCTGGAGGAAGAGCGTCCTGAGGGTGAGTTCGCTGTCTCCGGGCCCTCCGGGGCCCTCTCCCGGGCCCCAGTCAGGCGATCGCAAACATGGATCAAGGGGGCGTGGATTAGCGACGGGTCCCGTTTTCATGGGCAATTGCTGCTCTCCGCCGCCGAATGAGGCGGCACCGGCGTCATTTTGAGGAGGACACCTCCCCAGATCCATGGATTTGGCGTCCGCGCGCCAAGTCCATGGATCGCTGATCCATGTTTGCGAGCCCCCGACCCAGGGCCGTCAGCAGAAATGCCCAGAGTGACCAAGGGAGCGACGGAAGGAAGCGGGTTCGACTGCGCGGAGCGTCGCGCGTCCGCTTCCCGCGTATAGTTCTGAGGCCGCGCGTCCGCGCTCTCTGTTTTTTTCCAGGCGGTGTGCCACGCTGGCGGCCCGGACCCGCTTCTGCCAGGACCCCCCCCTTTTTCCTGAGCATTTTCTTTGGGTGGAGGGCAAATGGTGAAACCTGAAATGCCGTTTCGATTGGTTTTCGAGGCTTGAATCTGCAAAAGGTGAATCACTGGCTGCAAAGATCCACATTTCACCCTGGGCCTCCCACCCTAAGAAAATGCTTAGTTTTCAATTCAAGCCGATAGAGGTGGGCGCCGGCAGCGTGTGCTGAGATGTCCTCGCTGCGGAGCGAGGCCTCGGACACGGACCACGAGCACGACCACTTCAAGACCTTCGTTCAACAAGTGGCGCCGGCCACGCACACAACAGACAGCCTGGCGCTGCGCCTCGCGGCCAAGGCAGGGTCCGTTTCGACCCGATTGATCCGATTCGATACTGAGCATAATTTAACCGATCCTTATTTCCACTGGTGTGGCCTGGACCCACTGGCCGATGTACCCCCTCAGATGGGGATGCAGGCTGTCCCCCCTTGATTTTTTGGGGGGTATATCCCCAAATGGGGTGGTGAAATGATGAGGTCGAGATGGGGATGGGCATGGGGATAGGGATCGGTTAAACGATACTACACCAGAGAAGCCCCAATCAGTGGATGGTTTTCGATAAAAGAGATCGACTGGGAACCCGGGAACCCGGATCCCACCGAAATCGGCCCGGAACCAATAACCAGGAACCGGGGAACCCAGCCGGCCACCAAAATCGGCGGGAATTTGTTCGCCAAATATTCCAATTTCCGCTAGGACCCCTTCAGTGCAAGCTCTGATATTGGGGAACTAAGACATCGATTCGGGCTGGCCCGATCTCATTCGAGTCCGATGTGCCGACGCTTCGATGCGGCCCGATGCCTGCCTGCATGGCGTCGCTGTGCACCCTGCCGCGGCCGATCTTCGACTCGATGTCGATGACGTGCCCGTGCATGCCGCTCCGACACGCGCTCGGGTCCGCCACCACCCACTAGACCACCCCAACCCAGACATGATCCCGTCGTAAAAAACATGGAAGTGAGGTTTTTGGCAAATTTCGGCCTCGGGGGGCCTTCGCCAGGCCTCGGGACCATCAAAGAACCACTCGGGATGAAAATCTGGAAAATCTGGCCCCAGGGAAAGGGTCGTGATTTCCAGGGACCCCGTATCGAAAAAATCAGGACTTCGCATGTCTGGGATCCCAACCCGAAGGCCTCATTTTGCCTTCCACTTCCAGTGGGGGGGGGGTCGGAGAACATTAAGGAAGCACATGCAACCCGCACCCCCCCCAACTCGAAATGCGGGCCTTCTGGTTGGGCTGGGGTGGTCTGGTAGGTATAGTCAGTCCGATCCGATTTCCCAGCTCGATGCCGGCGGAGCTCGCCCAGGCCTCACGGGGGCCTTGTGGCCATCAGCGCTTGTTCCGCTTCTTCAAGTGGCTGTGGGAGCTCCACGAGCCGCCCCGGAGCGGCCGGCTGGCGCAGTTTGTGGGCTCCGACTTCTTCGAGCGGGGAGTGCAGTCTGTGATTGTGCTGAACTGCATCGTCATGCTCTTCGCGGCGAACGACGAGATGGCGAATTATGAGAGGCCCAACCCGACGCTGAAGCACATCGGCGACGCCTTCCAGATGTTCTACATGGTGGAAATCTGCCTGAAGCTGTGCGTTCACCGCCTCTACTTCTTCTGGAACCAGGACGCCGGCTACAACAGCTTCGACTTCTTCCTCGTGGCCTGTCTGCACGAACGAAATGGGCACGGAAAGAATGGGTACAATGCCCAACAGCAGTTCCTGTCCATTTTGATCAGGACTCGCTGTCCGCGCCGCCGCGGCCTGTGCCCATTCGAGACAGAAGGCCGCCTGCCCAACAGCGGCCGCTGTTGGTTTGGGACAACATTTGTTGTTGGGCATTGTACCCATTCTTTCCGTACCTATTTCGGGCGTCCAAAGGCCTGTGGGCTCCTGGACCTGGTCGTGAGCAGCGGCGGGTCCGGGTCCCTGGCCCTGCGCGCCGCACGCCTGCTGAAGATGGCGAAGTCCCTGCGCGCCGTGCGGGTCATCTCGAAGTTCAGGACAGGGCTCGACCTGGACAGCGTCTTTCCCAACCGTCCTGTGGTGTTGGGTCTTCGTTGTGAAGAGACGGTGCCCCGCGTTCCTCCTACTCTCCTCCTCCCCCTCCTCCGTCCTCCCTGCGCTTCACCCAGCCAGTACAGCGTTTCGTGGCCCCACAGGGAGCTCCACCGAAGGCCCCAGTGGCAGGGTTCGCATGGCGGCCCCGCCCCATTCTGGCGCACCCCTCACGCGGTTCGTGGCCCCAAAGGGAGCTCCACCGATGGCCCCAGTGGCAGGGTTCGCATGGCGGCCCCGCGCCATTTTGGCGCAACCCTCACACGGTTCGTGGCCCCATAGGGAGCTCCACCGAAGGCCCCAGTGGCAGGGTTCGCATGGCGGCCCCGCCCCACTCTGGCGCACGCCTCACACGGTTCGTGGCCCCACAGGGAGCTCCACCGAAGGCCCCAGTGGCAGGGTTCGCATGGCGGCCCGCTTACTTTGGCGCACCTCTCACCCAGTTCGTGGCCCCATTGTGAGCGAAGGGTTCGCATGGCGGACCCGCGCCATTTTGGCGCACCCCTCACATGGTTCGTGGCCCCATCAGGAGCTCCACCGAAGCCCCCAGTGGCAGGGTTCGCATGGCGGCCCCGCGCCATTTTTGCCATTTTGGCGCACCCTTCGCATGTTTCGTGGCCCCATAGGGAGCTCCACCGAAGGCCCCAGTGGCAGGGTTCGAATGGCGGCCCCGCCCCATTTTGGCGCACCACTCACACGGTTCGTGGCCCCATAGGGAGCTCCACCGAAGGCCCAGGTGGCAGGGTTCGCATGGCGGCCCCGCGCCATTTTGGCGCACCCCTCACGCGGTTCGTGGCCCCAAAGGGAGCTCCACCGAAGGCCCCAGTGGCAGGGTTCGCATGGCGGCCCTGCCTCATTTTGGCGCACCATTCACACGGTTCGTGGCCCCATAGGGAGCTCCACCGAAGGCCCCAGTGACAGGGTTCGCATGGCGGCCCCGCGCCATTTTGGCGCACCCCTCACACGGTTCGTGGCCCCATTGGGAATTCCCCTTATTTCGTCCCACCTGCCTTGCGGTTCTCACACTTGCGTAAGGTTGGGCCCTTCGCCAGGATAATTGCCATGTTGTGGACAGTGCTCGTTGGAGGTTCGTTCTGCAGCAAAGGGCGAAACGAAGGCAGAAGGAAGAGGAGCACAGAAAAGCAGCACGAACACGGGAAGCGCTGTTCCGGTCGAGCCCTGGTGTTCAGGAACCTGCGCGCAATTCTCCTCTGCATCCAGGGGTCCTTCTTGACCCTCATGTGGAGCGTGCTCATGCTCTGCGTTGTGTTCTACATGTTCTCCCTCACCTTCGTCGAGCAGGCGGCCAGCCTCCGCAAGGACTTGCTCGGCCAGGACTTGGAGGATGAGCGTCAGGCACGCATTGACTACCTGTTCACCAACTTCGGCGACGTGTTTCGAGGCATGCTGACACTGGCGATGGCGGCCCTCGGCGGCGAGGATTGGGGGACGCCCTACCGGAGCATTGAGGAGTGCGGGTTTCTGGCGGCCTTTTGTTACCTGATGTTCATCTCGTTTACGCAGATCGCGCTCATCAAGTCAGGTGCCTGCGGCAAACCTAGCCACCGTGCCAGCGCATCATTGACTGCATGCATGCAGGATGCTTCTACCGAGCGTATTGGGAAAGCTGGAGCTGTTGATGGCTGTTGGCACTGTTGGGGAAGCTTCGCTACGGTGCTTTAGCGTTGCTTGGCTGTAACGGTGCATGGCTGTGGCGTTGCCTCTTGGTGGCGTCGTGTTGGCTTCATGGGAGTCTCTTTGAGAACTTTAGAGGAGTGGTTCGGGGTCTCGGGGGCGTCTTGAGTGCGGTCGTTTTTCCGAGCTCCTCCGAAGAGCCTCCGCCGAGCCACCCTGCCCGTGTGGGTCTTCAGGCCGTCTTTGGGCCCTCCTCGAGCGGTCTCGAGTCGTCTTGAGGCTTATCCAGGTCGGTCTTGGGGCCGTCTTGGGCCATCTTTGGGCTTTTGAGGCTATCTGATGCCTCCCCGAGGCGATCTGAAGGCGAAACGCTTCGGAAGCCAAACGCAGTTAAAGGATTATTATTTGTCCATCGCTGCGTCCTCTTGAGAGACCTCTTTGGGCGCCTCTTGGGAATTATGAGGACCTATTTGGGCCTCATGGGGACATCTTGGAGTAGTTGGGAGCTCGCTCGACCGTCTTGGATTCGTCTTGGGGCATCTGGCAGCCGTCTCGGTGCGGTCTTGGGTGTTTGAGACGAAAAAAGAGCACCAGAGAGTAAACCCAGATGGAGCGCGCACTGTTTCTAGGGCCGTCGCGAGCACAGACGTCGTGCTGCCCCAGGGAGCGCCGAGCAGGGAACGGAGCGACGGCTGTGGCCACGGCGAGCCTCGGCAACAAGCGGGTTCCCTGGCCTCGACCCAAGGAGCGGCGACGAGTCCAGGTCCCCTCCTGGGCCCAAAGCTGTCCTCATTTCAGCGTCTTGGCTGTAGGGGGTGGGGCGCTCCAGACTCCAGACAACCCAAGTAGGCTAACCCCAACATGTAGTCCAGCATGCTCCAACGTGCCGAGGGCACGACGGCGGGTATCATCACCGGAATTTTTGTGGAATCCGCGATGCAGAATTTGGCGCCTGGGAAGGAGGCGTTGGCGCGGGAGCTGCAGTTGGAGAAGGAGGGGCACATGAGGGAACTCATCAAGCTCTGCAACGAGGTGGACACGAACACCAACAACATGCTGAGGAAGGAAGAGTTCCGGGACGGCCTCAAGAATGGCCGGATCCCACTGTTGCTGCAGCTGATTGGGCTCAATCGACACGACTTGGAGCGCTTCTTCGACGTGCTGAGCCGGGCTTCCCCCAACGGCGAAGTCGAGATCACGAGCTTCGTCAACGGATGCATGCTCCTGTCGGGCGCTGCGACAAGCTTCGACCTGCAGATGCTGACGGTGGACGTGAAGGGCATCCAGAAGCAGCAGCAAAAGGACTTCCGAGATATGAGGCGGCGGCTTCAGAGGGTTGAGCAGGTCATGGAGGTTGCGCTGCCGGCTGGCGACAGCTTGGCCAAGGTGCCCATGCACACGGACGCTGCGCTCATGGGGCGCCCGTGCTCCAGTGAGATGGACCCGCTGTGAGGGAGGGCTGGCATCTCAACATCCTCTTCCGCCCCCGCCAGGGTCAGCATCGTTTGACCGAGCCCCATCCCCATCCTCGTCCACCTTCGAGACCCCCGCCACAGGACCACCCCAGTGGGGGATACACCCTTCGAAGCCCGCAGGGAACGGCCTATGCCCCCATCCAGGGGGGTTCATCGGCCAGTGGGGCCCAGGCCACGCCGCCGGGGACGGGGATCGGTCAAGCGGTGCTCTCAGAGGCGTACAGCAGGAGGCTCTCTGTGTGTCGAGGCGGCGCCGAGGCCGAACTCGTGGTTTCCGCGCCGCAGGGGCGATCTTGGTTTGCGCACCACTACTTCAGCCGGGCTCGTCCCGCTACAGGAGGAGAATTCGAACATAGTCAGAACATGGTCAGGGGACGATTTATCGAGGATTCTTGACCACTACTGAATCTTTCCCAACCATCCGATCATCCTGTGGTGTTGGGTCCTCGTTTTGGAGAAACGGTCCCCGCGTCTCCTCCTCCCGTGCTCCCCCCCCAGTGGGGGGTGCCGCATGCGTCCGCCACACCCAGTACGGCGCTTCCTGGCCTCATAGGGAGCTCCACCGAAGGCTTCAGTGGGGGTGGCCACATGCGCCCGCCACACTCAGTACAGCGCCTCGTGGCTCCATAGGGAGCTCCAAGGCCCCAGTGTGGGTGGCCACATGCGTCCGCCACACCCAGTACGGCGCTTCGTGGCCCCATAGGGAGTTTCACCGAAGGCCCCAGTGGGGGTGGCCACATGCGCCTGCCACACTCAGCACAGCGCTTCGTGGCCCCATGGGGAGCTCCAAGGCCCCAGTGTGGGTGGCCACATGCGTCCGCCACACCCAGTACGGCGTTTCGTGGCCCCATAGGGAGTTCCACCGAAGGCCCCAGTGGGGGTGGCCACATGCGCCCGCCACCCTCAGTACAGCGTTTCGTGGCCAGTGGGGCCGTCCGCATGCGTCCCGCACGCCCAATTTGCCATCTCCACCCATCCAATACACCGTGTCGTGGCCCCAATATGGAGCTCCACCGAAGCCCCCAGTGGGACCGCCCGCATGCGTCCCACACACCCAATGTGGCAGTTTCACCCACCCAGCACAGCGCTTCGTGGCCCCATGAGGAGCTCCACCGAACCCCCCAGTTGGACCGTCCGCATGCGTCCCGCACACCCAATTTGGTATTTTCACCAACCCAGTATATTGCTTCGTGGCCTCATTCGGAGCTCAACCGAAGCCCCCAGTGGGACCGTCCGCATGCGTCCCGCACACCCAATTTGGCATTTTCGCGCACCCAGTACAACGCTTCGTGGCCCCATAGGGAGCTCCACCGAAGCCGCCAGTGGGACCGTACGCATGCGCCCTGGAAGCCCAATTTGATATTTTCACCCACCCAGTACAGCGCTTCGTGGCCCCACAGGGAGCTCCACCGAGGCCCCCAATGGGACCGTCCGCGTGCGCCCCACAAACCCAATTTGGCATTTGCACCCACCCAGTACAACGCTTCGTAGCCCCATAGGGAGTTCCACCGACGGTCCCAGTGTTACCGCCCGCATGCGTTCCCCCCCACCCAGTGCAGCGCTTCGTGGCCCCATAGGGAGCTTCACGAAGAAGATGTTCACAAATGCGGTACCCACAACTGCATATGGTTGGGTCCTTCGCCAGGGCATTTTTTTCAGTTTTCGTTCAAGATCCGCCTGTAGGGACGCACATCTCATTCGGTCCGGCGACAGAGCGGGTCCGCGGTATAATGCCCGACGCTAGGAGCGAACAAACGGTTCCGAGTAGCAGAGGCCAATAAACCTCAGTGGCGCCAAAGGTTGCGCCCATGCCGTCTTAATATCCGTAAGGGCTTCGCCCCCTGCCGCCAGCCCCCTCTCTCGGAGAATGGGCCATGGAAGAGCTAAGTCATGAGGCTTTGGCGCTGTCGTGCAGCAGTATCGGAACTTCATGCGAGGCCGATTCGCAATCGGCAAAACCAACTGATCACAAGAGGGGTTACCACACAGGGCGATTGGTAAGACGTGTATGGTTTACGAGCTTGGTTACCACACCTTGGAATTAAAGGGCCGAGGGAGTACTCGCAGTTTGGGTTACCACGCCTTGCGATGGATGTGCGTGAGGGGTGGCACCGAATTTCAGAAATGTGGCAAATCCCTTGTGTTTTTGGACCCTGACCCCGCGGATCTGCGTGAGGGGTGGCACCGAATTTCAGAAATGTGGCAAATCCCCTGTGTTTTTGGACCCTGACCCCGCGGATCTGCGTGAGGGGTGGCACCGAATTTCAGAAATGTGGCAAATCCCATGTGTTTTTGGACCCTGACCCCGCGGATCTGCGTGAGGGGTGGCACCGAATTTCAGAAATGTGGCAAATCCCATGTGTTTTTGGACCCTGACCCCGCGGATCTGCGTGAGGGGTGGCACCGAATTTCAGAAATGTGGCAAATCCCCTGTGTTTTTGGACCCTGACCCCGCGGATCTGCGTGAGGGGTGGCACCGAATTTCAGAAATGTGGCAAATCCCCTGTGTTTTTGGACCCTGACCCCGCGGATCTGCGTGAGGGGTGGCACCGAATTTCAGAAATGTGGCAAATCCCCTGTGTTTTTGGACCCTGACCCCGCGGATCTGCGTGAGGGGTGGCACCGAATTTCAGAAATGTGGCAAATCCCCTGTGTTTTTGGACCCTGACCCCGCGGATCTGCGTGAGGGGTGGCACCGAATTTCAGAAATGTGGCAAATCCCTTGTGTTTTTGGACCCTGACCCCGCGGATCTGCGTGAGGGGTGTCGATTGCGAGCCCCCCTAGCAATTCAGACAACGCGCCCAGGGGGTGCTAAAAATCCCGTTTGGACCCCCCCCCCCCTCGCGCGGTCAATCAATTAGTTACAGCAACCAGCAAGAAGCAGATTTGTAACACTGGAAACTACAAGCTACAACTGGCACTGGAAACTGCGAACCCGTGCCTCGCAGCCTGGTGGCCCCACAAGGGGGCCGGCGGATTTTCCATAATTTTTCGGACTGCTGGCCCATGTGTTGTTGGCGCCTAACGGACGAAGCACAGGCGAGTGGCGTAAATGTCGAAACGGTGTCGGATTGCGTCGGATTGCCGCATCCGTGTGTAATGATATGTCAGTGTAACGCTATATTCGCTGCTTGGCTGAAAGATTCGCCGAGCGGGCATTCGCTTCTTTGCTGGGCTGACGGGTCAACAAACACTCTCGCTCGTAATGTTCTAATTCGAATGGATTTTTCTGCCGCATGTCGGGAGAAATACTCCGCTCTTCCCGTCCCCGCCCCTCTCCCACTCCTGCTCTGCATGCCAGATTTCTCGCGCATTGCCACATACCATTCGCAGTTGTCTGTCGAGCTTCGGCCGAAGAGGAGGACTGGGCATCGAGAGGGGGAGTGGGGAATGGGCGGAGGGGGGGCGCTTTGGACCGCCAGTGGAGGGGTTGGGGGGCAGGGCTCGTTTCGATTCCTCCGATTCGATTCGATTCGATTTCCGTGGTTTCCGATTCCGATTCGATTCGATCTGGGATTCCGATTTGAGTTCCGATTTCTTATCGGAGGCATACTAGCCTGCCCATTTCTGCCCATCAGACTTTTTCCCAATCGGCTGCCGATTTCCGACGATCCGATTCAGGTCGGTCGCCGATCCGACTCGTCGATCCGATCCTGGGCTCTCCTGGGGAATGGGCGGAGGGGGGGCGCTTTGGACCGCCAGTGGAGTCCTCCTCCTCCTCCTCCTCCTCCTCTCCTCCCCCTCCTCCTCCTCCTCCTCCTGGGGGGGGGGGGGGGCGTCCTTGGCCGCTGGTGGGTCCGCGTTGGGGATGCTCTGGGCTTCCGGGCGGCACCCGCGCAGGCTCCCCCTCCGGGGACCTCTCTGGAAGGTGGGCCGCCGCACGGGCACCTCGCATTTTAAGTCGGGCCTGTCCCCCCTACAGGGGGATTTTCGACGAAAGCAAAAAAGTATAACAAAAATCATCAAACATAGTCCACAAATAGTCTGGGGACGATTTTTGGAGTATGCTTTGACCTTTTGGGGGCATTTTGGGGGGTACTTTTTATTCCCCAAACAGCTTGCTGAACGGGGTGCTGTTGTGATAGAAGCTAACTCCGGCCGAGGGAAAGCTAAGCAGAGACATCCTCAAACAAATGTGGTGGTCCGGCCAGTTTCGCCTGAGACATCCTCACAACTCTCGTTTCTGAGTTGTCCGGGATTGAGCGTTTCGCCTGAGACATCCTCTAAAAGTTGCGCTCCGGGACGCCGCGCGAGAGGTGGTCCGGGCCGTTTCGCCTTAGACATCCTTAAAAAGTTGCGCTCCGGGACGCCGCGCGAGAGGTGGTCCGGGCCGTTTCGCTTGAGACATCCTCGAAACTCTGAGCCCCGAGGTGCCGTGCGAGAGGTGGTCCGGGCCGTTTCGCCTGAGACATCCTCGAAAAGTTGCGCTCCGGGACGCCGCGCGAGAGGTGGTCCGGGCCGTTTCGCCTGAGACATCCTCAAAAAGTTGCGCTCCGGGACGCCGCGCGAGAGGTGGTCCGGGCCGTTTCGCTTGAGACATCCTCGAAACTCTGAGCCCCGAGGTGCCGTGCGAGAGGTGGTCCGGGCCGTTTCGCCTGAGACATCCTCGAAACTCTGAGCTCTGCGATGCCTTGCGCGAGGTGGTCCGGCCTATTTCGCCTAAGACATCCTCGAAACTCTGACTTCGGAGATGCCGCGCGAGAGGTGGTCCGGCCCGTTGCGCTTGAGAAATCCTCGAACTTCTAAGCTCTGAGATGCCCTGCGCGAGGTGGTCTCTCCCGTCTCGCCTGAGACATCCTTGCAATTCTGAGCTCTGAGATGCCGTGCGCAAGGTGGTCCGGTTTGTTTCGCACAAGACATTCTCGCAACTCTGAGCTCTCAGATGCTGCGCGAGAGGTGGTCCAGCCTGGGCGCCCAGAAGACCACATGTGACATATCCTCCATGGGACCCTGCGAGCCTCAGGAGGCCCCAGAGAGGTCCAGGAGGCCGCAGGACGCCCAGGACAGGCCCCAGGGGCCCCCAGGAGATTCCCAGGAGGCTCCCAGGAGGCCCCAGGAGGCCCTCTATCAGAACGTGTCAAGTTAATACACATCCAGTGTCGATTCGTTGATTTTTCCTGCTCTTGTGCCCCCCCCTCCATTTTGAGGGGCCCACGCGGCCACAGGTTAGATATCCCCCCTGGGAGCCCCAAGAGCCTTCAGGAAACCTCAGGTGGAGTTCAGGAGGCCACAGGAGGCCCAGGAGGAAGCTCCAGGAGGTCACCAGGAGGCCCCAGGAGGCACCAGGAGGCCGCAGGACGCCCAGGACAGGCCCCAGGGGTCCCAGGAGGCACCAGGAGGCCGCAGGATTCCCAGGAGGCTCCCAGGAGGCCCCAGAGGCTGCCTATCAGAACGTGTCAAGTTAATACACATCCGGTGTCGATTCGTTGATTTTTCCTGCTCTTGTGCCCCCCCCTCCACTTGGAGAGGCCCAAATGGCCACAGGTTAGATATCCCGGCTGGGAGCCCCAAGAGCCTTCAGGAAGCCCCAGGTGGGGTCCAGGAGGCCACAGGAGGCCCAGGAGGAAGCCCCAGGAGGTCCCCAGGAGGTCCCAGGAGGCCCCAGGAGGCCCCCGCAACTCGGAGCTCTGAGACGCCGCGCTCGAGGTGGTCCGGCCCGTTTCGCCTGAGACTTCCTCGCACCACGTTTCGCCAGAGACATCGTCGCAACTCTGGGGTCCGAGATGCCGCGCGCGAGGTGGTCCAGCCCGTTACGCTGGACACATCCTCGCAACTCTAGGCTCCGAGATGCCGTTCGGGATGAAGAGGAGGTGGAGGAGGAGGAGGAGGAGGAGGAGAGGAGGAGGAGGCATGTTTTAACATGCCATGCCAGCCCGCACTGGACGGGCACGCAATCGACCTTGGAAACCGCAGTGGGTCGAAAAACCCTGTTTGGGGATACTGCACTCCGGCTATAATTCTTCGTCGAGCATCCTCCTGTAGGGGGTCACGCCCGACTTAAACTTCGCAGGGCCTCCCAGGCCCCCGGTGCCAGGTCCGCTATGGTCGCGTCGTGTGGGAGTCCTGCGGCGGGGGCCTCGGAGAAGCAAGGCTGCGGCCTCCGAGGGCCCATCGGCCGGCCCCAGGGCCATCAAGGAGCAAGAAACGGTTCGGGCGGACACGCCGGTCCCAGAGAGGGGCTCCAGACCTCTGTGGGGGACAGATTTTTTCATCATTTTTAATGAAAAATAATAAAAGGAAAAACAACCAAGCAACAATAATAAGAAGAATCACGGCAGCGGAGTTCTGGACGGGGACGTCTCAAAAGAGTCACGACACCCGAGTTCTGGGTTCCCAGAGGAGGCCACGCTATGTGAGTCCTAAATGAGGCGGCGCCTAGGTAAACTCAATGGAGACGGGGACGAGGAAACATCGACGAGACAATTCGCTCTGCTCCAGTCCCCACTCCGCGGGAGGAGGAGGAGGAGGAGGAGGAGAAGGAGGAGGAGGAGCAGGGGCTTCGGGGGCGCAGCAAAGAAGCGACGGATCCGCGCCTGCCAGCACCCGGGAGGGGCGACGGATCTTGTGACTAAGACACCCCTCCGCTGGACTCCCCAGGGGCGAAGCAGGGTGGCCCATTGAGGGCGAGGGTTATGATGTTCCAGCCTACTCTATCCCTGATCGCTAGCACCATGCGAGTACCGAAACTTGATGGCTTTCACGTGTCGGGCATTGGGAGGCGATATTCGTTCGACGCTGTTTCGACACTTCTCTGGGCGCTCGAAAGTATTTCTGGCAAGTGGTCCGTGAGTACGATGGGAGCAGCCTAAGGCGAGGGAGACCTCTGGGCTGGTGGGTTCCTGGGTTCCCAGTTTCAGGTTCCGGGTCGATTTCGGTGGGCGGCTGGGATCCCGCGGGTCCCTTGTTCCTGAGTCCAGGGTTCCTGGCAATGTACGATCGGCCGCGTTTCCGGGTTCCCGCTGCGGGGGCTCCAGGCAGTGAGGCTGGTTGGGTTCCCGCCGTCCCTGTTCGGCGGGTTCCCAGTGCAGGTTTGGTGTGCTTCGGGCTTCCCGGTTCCCAGTTCCGGATTCTTGGCAGCGTGGATTTCTAGGGTTCTGGATATTTGTGTTGTGGCAAGGCGCCTGGGTCTTTGATCGTAACGGTTATAGGGGTCAGAGAGCTGCGATCAGAGTCGGCCAGAGGGATCAGGGAGGACGAGAGAGAAAGAGAGAAAGAGATAGGGAGAGAGAGAGAGAGAGAGAGAGACAGAGAGGGAAAGAGAGAGCATGTGCGAGCATCGTACGATATGATATTGAATGGTGAAATCAGAGTGACATGGTAGTACATATCAGAGATCTTCGGCCGAATTTTAAGCTGTGCATATATACATATATAAATAGAGAGAGAGAGAGACAAAAACAAAAAGAACAGACGAGAGAGAGAGAGAGAAAGGAATATAGACAGATAGACAGAGAGAGAGAGCTATATGGGTACAGTGTGAGAGAGAGAGAGAGAGAGAGAGAGAGAGAAAAAGGGGAAGAGAGAAAGAGAGAGAGAGATAAGCAGAGAAAGAGAGAGAGAGAGAGAGGACACACACACACACACACTGAACGCACGCACGCTCTTTTGTGTTGTATCTGTATCAACATTACACATGAGAAAACCCAATGAGTGGATGACTTGAAAATGAGCCATATGGATTTTGAGATTGTTTGTGAGATCCATAATGAAATCTACAGTGGTATCGATAGAGGACGATTGTAAGGTCGATTGTGAGACCGAGAGTGAAGCCGATTCAATGAGATCGATCGGGAGATCGATCGCGAGATCGCTCGTGCGATCTCTAGTGAGATCGCTTGCGAGATCGATTGTGAGATCGACGGTGAGATCGATGGTGTGATCGATAGAGAGGTGGGAAATCAGATACCGATCGATCAGAAGATCGACCAGGAACCCGGGAACCTGGGAACCTCGCCGCCCACCGAAATCGGCCCGGGAACTGGGAACCCGGGACCCCGGGAACCCAGCGTGCGACCAAAATCGGCGGGAAAGTTTCGCCAAATCCTTCAACCTCCGCTAAGACCCCTTCAGTGCAAGCACTGATTGGGGAATATTCATATATTCACGTGCACATCTATATGTAGTTGCGGGTAGGTCCGGGACAATCGATTGCAGAGCGAGGCCCGAGGGTAGACCAATTCACCAAAGACAGCATGCACATGCGAATTATTTACTTCTACAACCGAGGACAAGAAACATGTTTGGTGAGAGAGAGAGAGAGAGAAAGAGAGAGAGAGAGAGAGAGAAAACAAACAGAGAGAAAGAAATAACAACGAACAATCGACAGAAAGACGAGGAGAGAGCAGACGTGTAGCACATGCGGCAAGGCCAGGAATATACTGCTTGGGGTTTCTCCCTGGTGTAATGATTTCACAATGTCTGGCGGAAGCGCGACGCCGATTTCGGTGGGCGGCCAGGGTCCCAGGTTCCTGAATTGGATCCTGGAGGAGGAGGAGGAGGAGGAGGAGATGGAGGAGGAGGAGGAGGAGCAGGAAGAGGAGGAGGAGGAGGAGCAGGAGAAGGAGGAGGTGGAGGAGGAGGAGGAGGACGGGTCGCCTGAGCCCTTCGGAGAAGCCCTCCAGGGCGGGAGAGGGACGGAGGTGCCGGCTTGCAGGGCTTTGCACATAGAGACGATAGAAAGCGCGCTGATATGAATCATACGAGAGAAAGAGTAGAGTAGAGTGAAGAGAGAAAAGAGAGAGAGGGAGAGAGAGAGAGAGAGAGAAAGCATAAACAGCAGGGACAGCAAGGAGAGCATAGAGTAGAGCGCAGAGCAAAGAGTAGATCGTTGAGACCGATGGGGCAGAGCGTAGTGTGCAGAGTGCAGTAAGCATGCGCAGGATGTGCGGAAGGCGTAAAGTAGAGAGTATATAAGGCAGGGTAAGGGGTGGAGGATAGAGATTACACGTGAACGGGTAGGCCATGGTGGTGAGTGAAAGTCGAGAGCAGAGACATAATTGTACAGCCAAGAGGTTACACGCAAGCAGGGTAGGGAACACACCGCCGAGAACACGGAATACACACTCGTTGTCCTGAGCTTTCGCCCAGCACCGGCGCGTTGCTTGCCATTTTCACGTGGCTCTCGTGGTTTTCTCTCTCTCTCTCTCTCTGTCTCTCGTTGTTGTTCGTTTATCTGTTTTGTTTATCTCTCTCTCTCTCTCTCTCTCTCTTTATCAATATATATACATATACATATGTATATATATATATGTGTGTATATATGAATTATGTTGTTTGATGCGGATGGTGTCCGCGCAGCGCGTGCGTGCGACCCGCGTGGTATTCTCTGTCAAGGGGGAGGCGCGCGTGTGGCACGCGCGACGCTACCTGAAGGAAAGTGCCTGGGGCCTTGGTCGGCCCCGGCCGGGCCCAGCATTACCCCGCCTGGCCCACAGGGTAATCGGAGGCGGCCAAGAGGGGGGTGATCACCAGGGGGGGTGGACTCCCTGGCACCCCCCCTCTGGGCCACGCACATACCGCCGGCCATGACTTGCGCCCCCCCTCTTGTACGCCCCCCTTTTTGGCCGCCCCCGAGGGAAGGGCAAGCAGCCTAGCTCACGACTGGGGGCCTGGAGCTCAAAGGTCAGGGTAGAGGCAAGGGCGGCTGGGGATGGCAGCCCAAGAGGAGGAGGCGGAGGAGGAGGAGGAGGAGGAACACCGAGGATCGAGGGCCGACGGGGGGAAGGGGTGCTCGGGCGCGGGGGATCAGGGCCCGGGGCTGCGGTGCGCCCCATCCTGCATCCCTGATCCTCCAGGAGGGCTGGAAAACAGCACCAGGACCTCTGAGCTCAGATCCCAGTTGAAGCCTTGAGCTCAGAGGAGGAGAAGGTACCGATATCGCTGGCTTTCCCTGGTTGCTACGTTTGCATTCGCTGCGAAATCCTGGACAGAGCGCACGTCCTGGGAGGTCCGTGGGGTAGCGGTGTGGCCACTTTTTGTTCTCCCATGAGCAGTCTGGACAGGCTTGTGGGTCTGGAGGGCTAGTCCATAGCACTCTGGAAGGTCAGGGCTCCCCCGCCGACGGCCCTGGACGACGACGGCGGGGCCAGGACGGCAGACGAACCATCGCAGCGACGCGACCAACGAGGACGACGACGATGGCCCGCTGGAGCATCGCCTTGGGCGCCATCGCGCGGCGCTGCGCGGGCTGGTGCCATCGCGCCCTCCCCGAGGAGGAGGCGGAGGAGGAGGCGGAGGAGGAGGAGGCAGAGGAGGAGGAGGAGGAGGAGGAGGAGGAGGAGGAGGAGGAGGAGGAGGGAGAAGGCGGAGGAGGAGGTGGAGAAGGAGGCGGAGGAGGCGGAGGAGGAGGAGGAGGAGGAGGAGGCGGCGGAGGAGGCGGAGGAGGCGGAGGAGGAGGAGGAGGAGGAGGAGGAGGAGGAGGAGGAGGAGGAGAGCTGGTTCGACTTCGTCGGCCGCGCCAGTAGCGAGCGGGCAGACGAGGGGCTCCTGCCGGGGCCCAGGCAGCAGGGCAGGAGGGCGCGGGCTCGAGCCGCTCTTCGCCTGCCCTGGGCGCGGGGGGGCAGGGCGTGGTGATGCGATGCCCCGCCCCCCCGGAGGCCCTGTTCCACTCGCCCGAGTTCCGCCGCGCGCTCTTCTTGTGGCGCTTCGACCCCGCCCTGCACGGCGAGGCGGCGCGCAGCATCCCGCTGCAGCTGCAGCGCCTCTTCGCCCGGCTGCAGCTCGGGGGGTCCGCTGCGGCGTCGACGAAGGCCCCGCGGCCAGTCGGCTCCTCCTCCTCCGTCCCAGAGGTGCAAAGCATGAAAGACATGAAGTCGGAGGTTTTTCTCAGTCTTCGGGCGGGAATGGGTTCAGACTTCCGGGGACCGCGCATTGACAACATACAGTGGAGCATTTGGTTAAGATACCTCCTCCCGAAAATCTGTGCCAGCGTTTCTCAACCAACTCGCCGGAGAGCTGGCCCAGTTTCTTGAGCACGTTCGCCCCTCGAGCTTTAACAACAGGAATTGGCCCAGGCTGGTTTTAAGAAATTTCTGGGAAGCTGGCCCAGGTTTCTAACACAATCGTTTTCTTAATCATATTTTCGGCTGTACATCGCAACCTCGGATCTCCGGGTTTTCAGCTCTCCGTCGAGATGCGCTGTCCCATAGGACGCACCGCTGATGCAGACGGCCGCATTGAGCAGAGGTCCGGAGAGCCAGCCCCTCTCCCTTCCCCCCTTCCGCCCGATGCCGAGACGCAGAACAAGTCAACGTTCACAAGACTCGGCGCTCTGTGAGGCTTCGGGCTGCGCGGAGGCGGCCCCCCAGCCCAGACCCCCCCCCGGGGGCTGTGACAAAACTCACGACTGGAGGCGTTTCGCTGAGTTTGGGCCTCCGGGGGCCCTTCATCGTTGGGCCTCGGGAGTGCCGGCAGAACCGACCCACGAGAAGCAACCAGCCCCGGGGAAGGGGGCGAGACCCCGGGGGCTCGACGCTGTGACGGAAGATCACGCCGACGGGGGGTCTGGGGCCGTGGCCCCTCCTGGCCCCAATGGGCCCCCGAAAAGTGGCCCCAGCTGGCCTCCGCAGGCCCCACGGGCAGTCCAGGGCGGTTCCTCTCGTGTGTTTCTCATCGTTGATCGCAGGCATCTCCTCGACTGCACGTGAGAGTAAGCTTTCGCCGTAGTGACCTCTGGTGCGGGCCCACTTGGGGTCCCCCGATCGCCGAGTGCGGTGCGATGGGTGGTGTCTTGTGCGCTCGGGTCTGGCCGCTCCGCGGCTCCCCGAAAGCCGTGCACCAAGGGTCACTCCTGCCCAAGGGCCACTCTTGCGTGCAGCCGATATCCAGTGACGAGTCCAACCCATGTTCCTCTCGAGGTTCCCAGTTGGAGCCGGACGCCTGTGCAGCGGAATGCTTCCCCCCCCCGGCGGCGCTTCCGTGGGGGGGCGCAGCGCCGACCCGAGAGGCCCGCGCGGACCCCTGGCCATGCTTACTTCGTGTGCGCTCTCCAATCCCCACCCCCCCCGTCCGTGTACGCTGCCCACCAAGCCGCCACCGTACGAAGCAGCCGGCGTCCACGAGCGCAGGCGCTCACCAGCGCGTTCGGCTTCGCCGAGGCCGAGTCCCGCGAGCAGCACGACGTGCAGGAATTTGCGCTGCGGGCCGAGTGGGGAGCAGGGTCTTGCTCTTATCGCCATGCTGCGAAACAGGTTTGAAGGAGCACTGGGGGGAGAGGTAGGGCTACAGCGAGTCGCATGGAGAGGGGGGATCCGCAAGTCAGAGAGGGAGAAGACGAGCAGAGCGTGACAGGTCAGATCACTGCCGGACGCCAACACGTTCCCCAGACGGTGCTTGCACCAGGGCTCCAACTTGCTCTGCACCCAAGTGGCTGGGTGTCGTAGGCGTTCGCCCAGTGCCCGCCACGTGGCGCCCCGTGGGCGCCTCGGACCCTGACGGGGTGTTCTGCGTGTTCGGCCGGTGCCCGCCCGTGGGTGCCTCGTGGGCGCGTCGTGTCCTGGCGTGCGCCCAGATGCACGTTGCGATTGCGCCACTCAGCTTGCACTGTGTACACGCACATCTATATATGTGTATATATATATATGTCTATGTGTGTATATGTGTATATGTGTATGTGTATGTGTCTATATATATGTATGTATATGTATGTATATATATATATGTGTGTGTGTGTGTGTTCACAAACCTATGAATATAGGCTACACCGCTTACACCTTACAGAGCGCCTGAGATACATCATGCCGCATGGATTGCACCACCACTCGTGCACCGCATAGCTTGCACAATCAATCAACCCAATGAGCTAGCACGAAATAGCTTGCATCGCATTGACCGCGCAACATAGACTACACGATTCTTACAGGATTACGCAGATTACACCCCATACGCTGCATCACGTAATCCGCAGTCTGGAAACAATCATAACTTACCTCCCAGCCGATGCCCTGTTCGCATTCTGTCTTCAACGGCCACTCTGTGCGATGACTTATCCTAGATGTCAAAGGGGCATAGCTGGCAAAATATGTGGTGCGCATGCATTGAAGCAAGACGTGTTCCCGTTGAGTGCCAAAGGTCCCTTGATGACAACGCGGCAACGCGCTACTGGGCACATGCGCGCGCCGCCCCGCGCCCAAGTCAAAATCCCTCAAGCAACAGGTGCGTATTCTTCGCAGCAAGCAGCTCCTTCCTAACAAGAACACTTGGCTCTTTCACAGAACCAATGCGCGTACGAGTCCTGGCAAAAAAGAAACACCGTTGGATTGCACTCTCTCCGCCGTGCCTCCACGCTGGCCTCTCGTGCGCGATCCTGTCCAGCCCCGGCGAAGCTTAGCGGTTCCATCACATCCGAGCCGTGCGGGCCCTGCGACCGCGCATATCAAGCACGCTCCACCACCGTCGCGCGCCCACCAGTTCGCGCCATGCTCGGGCCACACGCCCGCGCGTCTCCACGCGCGCACGGTCGGAGGTCACCGGCGCCGTTTCGCCCCCCAGCCCGCGACGTTGCGGCCGCATGGGGAACTTTCGATGGCCAGAGCACGAAAAGAAAGGGAGGAGGTGGCGAAGGGGGGCCGCCGAAGGCGGCGGGGGCGCAGGAGGGGAGGTGGGCAAGGAGGACGGGACGGGATGAGGAATGGCATGAATGCGTGTGAGTAGAATGTTGGAGCGCGAGGAGAACCCACCTGCAAGGAGGACGGGACGGGATGAGGAAAGGCATGCACATGTGTGAGTAGAATGTTTGAGCGCGAGGAGAAGCCACCTCCTTGTGTCCCCCTTCCTCCTCCTCCCTTCTTTCGCTTCTCCTCCACATTCCTTTTTTCCTCAGCCGCCTGCACAATTCCAGGCAATCCCAGCCTCGGACGCCCTTTTCCCCCGTCGGTGCGTCCCTGGGCATGTTCTTGAGCACCAAAACGGTGGTTCAGAAAGTCAGACGCACATAGCAGTGAGTTCCAGCTCTGTTGAGCAGGGCCAAAGCCCACTGCCACTCTCGGCCAGCCCGCGAGCGCTGATCCCAGCGTTGCAGCCCATGACGTTCGACTCCAATCTCGAATCCCGCACTCCATACTGGGCAGCGCCAGCGTCCGCTGCCACTGCTCGCCCTTCTGGCACGCATGGATCCCAGCTCTGTGGCTGATGACGTTCGGCATCAACTACCCGGGCGTGGGGGCAACATTGCAGCCAACAAGTGTCTAAATTCCACAACCTGTCTGGGCCCAAACTCTGGGGTATGCAAGAGGGGCGCCGATCCTCGATAGAGGTGCACCAGAATGGACCGTAAAACGGTATCCCAGGCCCTGGGGAGTGAGTGTGTATCTCAGGCTCTCCCAACGTTTCTAAGGGGCTCGAGGCCAGGGAGGCCCTCCCTCGTGGCCGGCCCCCGGCGGGAGGGGGCACGGGGTGGGCTGAGCCGTTGGGCCCAGAACGACATCGACGACGACGAGGACGAAGGACGATGGAGGGAGGGGCTGGCATCGGGGTCGAGCGCGAGGATCAGCAGGACAAGCAGCAGCAGAAGGATGAAATGAGGCGGCACAGCGGGAGGGCAGCAAGGTCGGGGGGGGGGAAGAGAGCGAGGAGCGCTGACGGTGGAGGGGAGAGAAGGATGAACAGCAGGATGACGACATGGTGACGTTGAGGAGGATAGGAAGGAAGAGAAGGATCACGAAGGAGGAGGAGGAGGAGGAGGAGGAAGACCAGGAAGAAGGAAGAAGGGAGGACGACAAGTAGGACGGAGGATCGTTGTCCGAGGATCGCCTGTCAAGGACCTTGCGCGTTGCTTGTTCTGGTTCTGTTGCTGGAAGCCCTGGAGGGGACCTCGCGAGATTTCCAGAGGCCTCCCGGGGCAAGGGGCTCACGGGGGGTGGAGCCAGAACAGGAGGCCCCGCGCGCCACACGGCTCGCAGCACCACTCACTCGCCAAGGAGACAGGACGAGGAGGAGAACAACAGAAAACGAGGACGAGGGTGGGTCTTTTATTGAGGCGGGGGAACTGGGGTCGCCTTGTATGTTGTTAGGATCCAGTATAAAAAACTTTGAAGGTCCAGCGATGTAAAAAGCAGGTGTTCAAACACATGCGATCCCCCCATGGCTTTCTGGAATTATGTGGGCGGTCACTTTCTCATCATCCTCATCAGCACAAGCCGTATTGTCATCGTGAGCGTCCTCATTGACATCGTTATCATCACCATCGTCGGGATTATCTTCATCGCTGTCATCGTCGAAGTCGTCGCCCTCGTCAATTTCCTCCTCGCGGTCATCATCATCGTTGCAACCATCATTTTCATCACAATCAACTTCATCACCATCTCCGTCGTCGACATCGTATCACCCACATCCCCATTGTCATCGCCATCGGCATCAGCGTCATCACCTCGGTCATCGCCATCGTCGTTGGGGTCGCGCTCGTCAGCATCGCCAGACCAATTTCGCGACCTGGAGGACTGAGATCCACGCGCCCGCCGCCCGTCACACGCACACACACACACCTGACCAAACATACTGCATCGCGTCTGTGGCAACATGTCACATTGCAGCGCGTAGGAATATTTGCCCAACATATTGATCAAGCATGCTGCATCGCATATTTGACCAAACAGATTGCCGCTCGTAGGAATACTGCGCATCACCGCGCAGGGAGCCGCGCACGGGCTGCGCGCTGCACGGGCTGCACCGCAGAGATCGCCCACGGGGTCCATGGGGGGGGCCCGGCGCACCCGCTGGCGCGAGGCTCCGCACGCGGCGCGCGCAGGAGCTGTGCCGGGTGCTCTTCGACGCTCTCGCGCGCTCGGCTCCCTCGCTGGCCGCGGAGATCGACTCGCTGTACGCGGGGCGCGTGGCGCACTACGTCCGAAGCCGGGAGCCCTGCGCGGACGCCGGCCGGCGGAACGCCCGTCGGTGCGACGGGTACGGCAAGAGTTGGGGCGAGGGCCGACAGCAGTTCCAGCCCATGGTACGCAGGAGTCGTTGTCGGTGTAGCCGAGCACGGTGTCCACTTGAGCAGAACCGATCGCCTGCCCAAGGGCCGCTGTCGGATTTGGACAGCGTTTGCCGTTGGGCATTGTGCCCGTTTGTTCCCTCGCCCGTTTCCGGCGTGCCAAGTCCGTGCGTGGTCTGGGCGGCTGCAACAGGGGCGGACAGTCCAGGGGAGGAGCATCACTCGTGGCGCGCGCCAGAAATAGCGCCGCCTTGAGGACCGAAGGAGGGCGCATCTCCTCCTCGGCGGAAGGTCGGCGGAAGGCGGCGGAAGCAAAACGGTGGCGCCTCCGCCGGCGGACGCCTGGTGGAGGCTGGCGGATGTAAAATACGCCCCCCCTCCAAGAGAAGACAGTTTTTTTGTTCAGGGTTTCCGGAGCGGGGCACGCATCTGGGGTCGCCGATGGCCCATGCATCCGGCGAGGCTCTCGCAGGCGCCCCCCCCACCCTCCCCGGGCGATCCGCCATTTTTGCCCCTCCCCTCCCCCCCCGCCTTTCCTCCCTCCCTCGCACCCCCGCCCCTTCCTTCCCATCCTTGCCAGCCCCCCACCCCGCCACCCCTCCCGACGCAGTAGCGCTGGTGTCAGGGGGGGCTTGACCGACCCCCGGCGAACCAGCCCATCCTTTTGACGACCCCCTCGCCTCGCGCCTCGCCGCAATCGATGGAGGTATGCGGCAGGAGGGGAGCTTGAAAGGCGAGGATGACGCCACAGGAGGGGATGGCCTGCTACGGGTCGTCGTGGCTCATGTTGCTCCCATCGTACTTGAAGACCACACCCCAGAAACTCGGGCCGGGCGAAAGGGGGGGATTGGGAAAGGGGAGGTTACGAAATTTGCTGCATGCAGCTGGTTCCGGCCTCACCGAGGGGCCCATTCCTCGATACATAGCCGCTTCCGCCGCCGGGAGGCGCCGGGAAAATCAGCTACGTTAGCTGATTCTCCACCCCCCCCTTTGCTATCCCCCCCTTTCGCCCGATCCCAGAAACAACTTCGAGCACCCAGAAAAATATCGAAGCAGCGTCGAGCGAGCATCGCCACCCGGGGGAACCAGGTGCGGGTGCGCCATGCGGACTGTGTCCCCAGGGCCCATCGGTGGAGCTCCCTATGGGGCCACGGAGCGTGCGATGGGTGTGCCGGATAAGGTGCGGGTACGCCATGCGGATTGCGGAGCTCCCTTTGGGAGCTCCCTACGGGGCTTTCTGTGGAGCTCCTTATGGAGCTCCCCATGGGAGCTTCCTGCGGAATGTGCCACTGGGGCTCTTCGGTGGAGCTCCCTGTGGGGGCTACGAGACGTGTGAAGCGCGTGCCGAAATTGACAAGCGGGGGGCAGAGGTAAGGGTGGGGGAGGAAGGAGGAGGAGGGGGAAGGAAAAGGAGGGGGAGGAGGAGGGGAAAGGAAAAGGACGGGGAAGGAAGGAGGACGGATGGGGAGGAGGAGGAACAGGAGGAGGGGGAGGCGGAAGGAGGAGGGAAGGAGGGAAGGAACGCGGGGCGCTGCCTCCGCAACGCGAAGACCCAACGCCACAGGATGGTTGGGAACAGGTCTTCCTCCCGAGTCCTTCTTGCACCGCCCCTCGAGGCCCATGCCCGTCCTCGAGGGGCCAAACATGACGACCAACTGGCCGCTCGGATCTTCGGGGCGCCTGATGTCTGGGAACGGTGGGAACCATTCATTGTACTGTCGCCCACGCGCAGAGGTTGGGCAGGTGGAGGGGGGAAGGCTTCGTAGAAGGCGGGTGCTTCTTAGAAGGCGCGGGCCTTTGTCTGTAGATGGAAGGCCGCGCGCCTCCTAAGATGCAGCCTCCTTCTAAGAAGCTCCCCCTCCTCCCCAAAGTACAGTGGAGGCCAGTCCACAAGGAACCTCCCACAAGAAACCCAACCCCCAGACCCCAGGGCGACCATGGCTCTCTGGTGCGGGAGCGCCGCGCTTCCCACGGCAGAAGCATCGACACCCGAGCAGCCCCGGGCACCCTGGAGGCACGCAGGGTGCTTCCTGGCATGGGCCCCCACTGCACCCCCCCATGGCCCCCTCCTCGCGTTATCCTGGGGCAACGATAGGAGGAGGAGGAGGAGGAGGAGGAGGAGGAGGAGGAGGAGGAGAGAGGAGGAGGAGGAGGAGGAGGAGGGAGAGGAGGGAGGAGGAGGAGGGGAGGAGGGAGGGAGGAGGAGGAGGAGGAGGGAGGAGAGGGAGGAGGAGGAGGAGGAGGAGGAGGAGGAGGAGGAGGAGGAGGAGGAGGAGGAGGAGGAGGAGGAGGAGCCGACCTTCCTCGGGGCGCGCTCGTCCGTGCCCAGGCCGGGCGGGGGCGCCGTGGGGGCGGCGCGCGGCCCGCTCCGCGGCGGCCTCGCGGGCACGGGGGCCGGCGGCCCTGGGGCAAGGATGGCCCGAGCAGGAGGTTTGGGGCGTCGGGGGCTTGGCGGGACATCTCTCTGGCCGGCGTCCGGGGAGCGAGGCAAAAATGGCCAGAGCAGGAGGCTTGGGGCGTCGGGGGCTTGGCGGGACATCTCTCTGGACGCGGGCCGGCGTCCGGGGAGCGAGGCCCTGGGGGTCGAAGTGGCCCGAGCAGGAGGCTTGGGGCCTCGGGGGCTTGGTGGGACATGTTTCTGGACGCGGGCCGGCGTCCAGGGAGCGAGGCCCTGGGGGTCGAAGTGGCCAGAGCAGGAGGTTTGGGGCCTCGGGGGGTTGGCAGGACAACTCTCTGGACGCGGGCCGGCTTCCGGGGAGCGAGGCCCTGCGCCAATGGCTGGGGCAGGAGGCGGGGGCGGGAGCGCGGCAGGAGAGTTCTTTGCACGCGGGCTGACGCCTGGAGAACCGCTGAGAACCAACCAGCAAACAAACACATAAGAACAATGCTATAAGAAAAGCAGTAGTAGAAAGAACCGGAATAACGATGTTGCGAATAATATTATTAATCGTATTACGAATAATGATAGTAATGCTAGTCTTAGTAATACTAGCCAAACTAAACATGCAAACATGAATGATGTTAATAAGGAAAAAGGAACGATGACGATAATAACAGTAGTAATACTACGAATAATCCTAACAACAGGGATAAGCAACAAAACACAGAGAACCACGGCGTGGCAGCCCGCGGGAGGCCCGGCATTGGCCCGCGGCTGCCCGCGGTTTCTCCGCGGGTGGCCTCCGCACGGGCAGTGCTGCCCCCGAGGACGGGAGCTTGCCGGAGAGCCGGCGCGAGGAGAAGTTCCTGGACCTGCAGGTGCCGATCCACGACTGCGGGACGCTGGAGGAGCCCTCGCGCTGCGGAGCAAGTCACGACGGGAGCTTCTCGCTATTTTCGGCCTCCGGGGGCCCTTTCCGGGCCTCGGGAGCGTCAAAGCACGATTCAGAAGGAAGAGCTGGCTCCGGGGAAGGGGCCGGGACCTCTGGGGGTCGACGTTGCGACACAAATCGCGAGTCGTAGGAGGAAGAGGTGCCCAGACCTCAAGACACAAACAGGGTATAAGCACAAACTGTTGGCGCTCCCTTTTGGGCGCTCCGCGCGGATCTCTTGGATCCGCGCTGCCCCCCCTCCTCCCCCCCCCCCCGGCGGCGCCTCTGGCGCCGCCCCTGGCGCGCTCCGCGCGCCACGGAGGGGGTCCAGCGCGGACCCAAGGAATCCGCGCGCAGCGCAAACAAATTATGTTTATGGCGTTTTTTTGTTTCATCTTCCAATACCCCTTATCCTTCGTTGTCCCATTCGTGGGCCTCCTGGGGGGCCCCCGTCGCCACCGCTGGATTCGCGCCGGAATTCTGGTCAGAGCGCGCTCCGGGAAAGGTCTGGGGAGTAGCGGTATCGGTGATTTGGGTTCCCCCAGGGAAGGTAATGCAGAATGATGACGATGATGATGATGATGATGATGATGATGATGATGATGATGATGATGATGATGATGCTGATGCTGATGCTGATGCTAATCATGATCATGATCATGATCATGATGATGATGCTGATGTTGATGATGATGCTGATGCTGATGCTGATGCTGATGCTGATGCTGATGATGATGATGATGATGATGATGATGATGACGATGATGGTGATGGTGCTGATGGTGCTGATGGTGCTGATGATGCTGATGATGATTAAGAGATGGCCAGGGGTCGTGTTCTCGCTGCGGAGCCCAGGATGATGATTGGAAAGCGGCCCCCCGTTTTACTCCCTCCCTCCCGCCCTCTTCGTGCGCGCCCTTGGGCAGTCGGCGGGCCAGACGGAGCCGAAGCGAAGTGGAAGCCGAAGATTCTGAAACTATGCTGTTAACCGCCCCCCCACACATCATTTTACTATATCCATCTTACATTACCGATACCACCAGTCGTTGTGGAGAGCCCTTGCGCAATGGCTGGATGATCCTCAAGATGCGGGTTAGAAAAGAGATGGTCCACTCCACAGTGCAGATAACTGCGAACACGGGAGCGCACCTGGTAGAGTTCTCTCTGCCCTGCAAAACCTCCACATACCCCAGGAGGCCCTGCGGAGACTGGTCCAGCCGGAGCCCCTGGACGGCGACAACCGGTGGCACTGCGAGGAGCTCGGCAGGAAGGTCGACGCACTGAAGGGCGTCGACGTCGTTGCCCTGCCCGGCCTGCTGTGCCTGCAGCTGCTGAGGCCCGTGCCGCCCCTGCCATGCTGAGCGCTGGGGGGCCCTTGAGCGGTGCAGCGTGTCCTGCCCCGGACGCAGCAATTCTACATTCATGTGTTGTCGGAGTTCCGTTCTAGATTTAGTACGCATCACGACGAGGAGTGCTTGCCAGTTTTCGGTCTCGTGGGGCACCTTGCCAGGCCACACGATAGTCGAAAACGCTGGGGAAACGATTATCCCGGCACGGGCCTTCCAACGTCCACGCTTGAAGCCGTTCGTGTTCAATATTGGAGCAAGTTTATTGTGTAGCCCCCGGGCCTCCACTATGATGGGCGATTTGCACGACCACTACCACACGTAGAAGGGGGAGGAGGAGGAGGAGGAGGAGGAGGAAGAATAATAATAACATTAATAAGAATCATGATAAGAATAATGATAATAGGCAGGATAATAATAATACGATCATAAGAATAATAATTGCAATAAGAAAAATTATAATCACAAGAATAATGATCAGACGAAGAAGAAGAGGAGACAGAGGAGGAGGAGGGAGGGCGAGGAGGAGGGGGAGGAGGAGGAGGAGGACCTCCCCATCCTGACTTCCCCCCCCGTCCTCTCGTAGTGGTGGTGGAAGATTGGCCCATACTGCCAGGGCAGGAGGGCAAGACTGGCACGGCCCGAGGTTTGTGTTCGACTTGACGACGATGCGGCGGCGCAAGCTCACGGAGGCCATCTCGATACCCCTTGAGATGGACCTGAGTTTCATGGCCCCCGTTGAGACTCGAGGAGCAGTGCACGGCACGAGCATCAACTCTCGGAGGTCCGCGCGGACGCCGTGGGCCCGCGGCCGGTGGCAGCAGCCCCGCAGCCCTTCTGCGGCGCGGCGGCGTCAGAAGCGCCGCCCAAGGCGGAGGGGAGGTCCAGCGCCAACCTCTGGGGGCGGCCAAAAGAAGGGGTGTCGTGACCAGGGGGGGGGGGATATCCTGGCTGTGACACTGCGAACCCCCCTCTTGGACTGATCGGCCTGTTTTCCACAGCTACCACCACCATATGTTGGAAGGGGAGGGGGTCCTCCTCCTCCTCCTCCTCCTCCTCCTCCTCCTCCTCCTCCTCCTCCACTTCCTCCTCCACTTCCTCCCCCCCTCCAACTTCTAGTGGTGGTGGTGGTGGAAAACAGGCCCACCATGGACGCCCGCCTCTTGGACGCTCCCGACGACCCACGAGATCCGCGCGGATGCCCGAAGGTTCGTGGCCGCTCCCATGCCTGCTCCCCCTGGACTGCCGCCGTCTACGAGCTCTCGGCGGTCTGCTGCCACAAGGGTACCGCGCACGGTGGCCACTACCACGCGCTCCTCCGGGACGCGCGCCGGGGCGTCACAGGGCCTCCCAAGCCAGGACCTCGATAACCAGGACTCTGAAACGTTCACCTGGGACCTCCTCCTCCTCCTCCTCCTCCTCCTCCTCCTCCTCCTCCTCCCCAAGGGGTGGACGGCCTCGAGTCCTGGTGTGCACGGCCAACCCGCACAGCAGGGGTGAGCTTGCATCCTTCCCCTCCGGCCCATCCTTGGCCTCTTTCGCTTGCCGCGCCCCGCTCGCAGAGTGTCGGCATGACCCGAGGCCCTTGCGTTATGATGCTGCAACCTACTCTAGCCTTGATCACCCGAAAGAATTTCGAGCGCCAGAACAAAGTTCAGAAATTCAAGGGTTTTCACGTGTCGGGCCCTGGGAGACACTCGCCCGACACTGTTTCGACACTCTTTTGATACTTTTTCGGGGTGCTCGAAATTATTTCTGGGATGCGATCCTTAAGTAGGATGGGAACAGCATAACCCTTGCGTCCTCATCTTGCGTCCTTGCTCTACGGGTTGGCCGGGTCGAAGTCCCCGTTTGGGGGGGGGCCTGCGCGTCTGGCTCGACGCGAACGATGCGCACGTGGCGGACCTGGGCCCGCAGCAGCTGGAGGCACTCTTCGCTCCGCGCCCGGGGCCGGCGCCGTCTGCCCAGACCTCCGCAGGAGTGGTCCCTTCCAATCTTGAGTTCAAGCAGCGGCGAAGCGTCCTGGCTCGCCTACAGTCCTACCGAGCAGTGTTCTAAGAACCTGTTATGGTTCCCACGAAATGTTCTTAGGACATTTCTGGCGGAGTCTGTCTTGTTCTAACACATCGGGATTATGTTCTAAGAACATTGTCTCTGTGCTTAGAACATGTTTGGGTTCTAAGAACATTTCGTGGTAGGACTATAGGAATGCCGGGACGGTCGGTCCCTGCTCAATAAGTCGGACCTATCCTTCTACAGGAGGAATAGATTTTAAATATAGTCTAGGGACGATCTCGCCTGTATTTTTGGACCATGTGGGGGTCTGTTCGACTATTTCAATTTTTTCTGACTAAATCCGCCTGTAGGGGGACTTGCACGACCTAGTTCCAATCCTGGCGTGGCTCTCCCCAGTTCCATGCCACTCGGGGGCCGCCGAGAGGGGGCTGATGCCCGGGGGGGGAGGTTCGATTTCGAGGGTCGAGCCTCTAGGTTTTCGGGCGCCTTCGTCGGCTCTCGGCAGTTTTCCTGCGTCGTGATGCTTCCCAGCAGCTGCGCCTCGCCGAGGGTGTTCTGGCCTGATCGCCCCGAACGGTCGCCGAGTTCGCCCAATAGCCAGATGCGCCATGGGGAAACGGGCCCTGAGGGACACAGGGAAGCCCCTGGGGTCCAGGATTAAGTCGGGCATGTCCCTCTACAGGAGGAATAATCAAACATAGGCCAAACATGGGGACGATATATTTGACTAATTTGAGCTATTTCTGATGATTTGATGACTTGGTTTTGCGTTTCTTCGAAAATCTGTTGTAGGAGGACATGCCCGACCGAAGTCCAGGACCCGTTTCTGTCAGGACCCGCTTCCCGCATGCTGAAGCAGGGCCAGGGACTTCGGATCTCGTGGCTCCCTCCTCCCGTTCCAGCATGCCCGTGGGCCTGGAGGGTTTGGTTACTCCGAAGGGCTTATGCGACCCGTCCTCCTCCTGCTCCTCCTCCCTCCTTCTCCTCCTCCTCCTCCTCCTCCTCCTCGTCCTCCTCCTCCTCCTCCTCCTCCTCCTCCTCCTCATCCTCCTCTCCTCCTCCTCCTCCTCCTCCTCCCTCTCCTCCTCCTCCTCCCTCCTCCTCCTCTCTCCTCCTCCTCCTCCCTCCTCCTCCCCCTCCCTCCTCCCTCCTCCTCCCCCTCCTCCTCCTCGGGTCGCCTGCGGGCCCCGGGGGACACCGTGCACAGGGGCCCCCGCGGGGCCCTGCGCCCGGGCCCGTAGGCCTCGCTTCTGTGCGATCCCCCCGCCTCTGGAGAGCGCCCCCTCGTTGTGGACGCCTCCGAGACCCGTCCTCCTCCTGCTCCTCCTCCCTCCTCCTCCTCCTCCTCCTCCTCCCTCCTCTCCTCCTCCCTCCTCCTCGTCCTCCTCCTCCCTCCTCCTCGTCCTCCCTCCTCCTCCCCCTCCTCCTCCTCCCTCCTCCTCCTCCTCCCTCCTCCCTCCTCCTCCTCGAGAGCGCACCCTCGTTGTGGACGCCTCCAAGACGCTGGTGGGGCCCGTGTTCGAGCCCCGGTCGGGATCCCGCGCAAAGGTCAAGTCGGGCCTGTCCCTCGACAGGGGGAATATTCCAAGATAGTGACACAAATAGTCTAGGAACGATGTTTTCACTATATTTGGCTGCTTTTCTGTATTTTCGATTCTGGTATATTTTTCGTCCAGAAAAACCATGTAGGAGGACATGCCCGACCTAACGCAAAGGCGGGGTGCGCCCCGGGAGGTGTGTGCGTTCGATCGGCTCGTGTATCCAGACTTGATCGCGTCGCAAAACAAATCAGGACGGGAGGTCTTTGGCCAATTTCGGCCTCGGGGGGCCTTCGCCGGGCCTCGGGACCATCAAAGGACGGCTCGGGATGAAAATCTGGTCCTGGGGAAAAGGTCGGGACTGCCAGGGACTCCGTATTGAGATATTCAGGACGTCGCATGTTTGGGCACCGAACCCCTCAAGGTAGATGCCCCCCAGCCACCGGCAGCTCTCGATCGTTGCCGGTGGGTGGTGCGTGCGGGGGACTCTTGTTTGCGGCAGGGCTGTGCACCAACGGATCTGGATCGAACTCATGCCCCCCCTCAGGGTCACCCCCTTTTTGGTGGATCCCGACCAGGGCCATCAAAAAGTGGTCCAGGACGTAAGGCCGCACTCGGGGAGTCGGGAGGTCTGGGGCCGCGAGGTGAGTAGTGAGACCGCGACGTCGGATGTCCGAGCAGATCAGGAGTCGAAGCTCCGATTTCTGGTCAGCGCACATCTCTGGCTTCCTCCGACGCATACTTCCTGCTCTACCGTCGACGTGATCTGAGGGCTCCGGAGGTTGCCGACGAGAGCGTGCCGGAGCCTCACCGGTCGGAGCTCCTGCAGGAGAATGTTGACCGGGAGGCGCTGCAGAGAGCGTACAAAGTCCACAGGGAGCTACTGGAGGTCACAGGGCTCGACCCAAACAGTGCTTTGGCGACTTCGTGGGCCGCTGTCGTGTCGAGTACGTTCTGCAGCGGAGGCGGGACGAAGACAGAACCAGAAAGAGCGAGCACACGGCGAAGACGGAAACCACCGTTTGGGTCGAGCCCTGGAGGTGAGAGTCCACGCGCCCACCGCTGCCAAGGTGATCCTGAGAAGGTACCTGGCTCAGGAGCTGCGGGGCCTGCTCAGCGAGGAGGAGGAGGAGCTCGGCTGACTGAAGCCCAAGGGGTTACCTGGCCGCGAGGGCGCCCCGGGGGTCAGCGAGGTCCTCCTGGTCGGGGGTGGCACCCGGGAGGATCTCCTTCTGTCCTGGGCCCCCGACTGGCCACCGGCCTCGCACGCGGGGCTCAATTCCCTCGGGCCGTCCTCGGGACCCCGCCACCGTGCGCCAGTTCGCAAAGGAACCCCCTGGAGGTCTGGACCCCTTCCCCGGGACAGAGCTTTCGCCCCGGAAATCGGCTCGGGATGGAGAACTCCAGATTCTAGGCCCCCTGGATAGGGTCGGAGTAGATGGGGTCGGAGGATCGCGCCGC